GGAATGCAAATCTGCATTCCCTACGGATGGTGCGGTGGCGATTGCAGAGTTGTTATACCATCCCTCGCCGGAAATTTCAACCGTCGCTGCCTCCTGAGCGTTCAGAATAAAGGATTGTCCTCCAACGATGGGTATATCACCGGGGTCGTCTACCTGTCCGACCGACTTAAACTCTCCGCTATCGGTGAGGATAATCGAGGGAACGTTACCTCCAATCCCATCGAGTGCAAGCAGGTCGCTCACACGGGTTATTCTTGAATCTCTTAATGGCAGCCCCACGAGGTTGAGACCTTGGTTTAAGGTGATGGTGCTGTTTCCGTTTGTCCCTAGGGGATTTCCACTCAGACGGATAGAAGCTGAGGCTATCATACCGGCGATAATCCCCATGTCATCGGTCAATGCCTTGTCGGCAGAAGTGCCTGTATCGGAAGTACCGAAATAGCTATGCCATTCTTGAGTTTGCGAGTCATAGGTGATGAGGAAGTTGATTTTTGAGGTGCTACCGAGTGCATCGTAGAGTTCGGCGATAGATGTGATATTCTGTGCCACACCGTCAACGGTCGTCACCTTTAGGGGGACGTGAATCAAGCTGATATTTGATGGTATGGAGAGGTCAAACTCAATTTTGGCTATGGCGTTAAAGGTCGTCGGTTCGGAAATTCCTTCGACGCTTGCGTGAACGGTATTGGTGGCTGCCTTAAGACCGAAGGTGAGTGTGCCTTCTGCCCTGCCGTTTTCATCGGTTAGAACGGTTTCGGGCTGGACTGTCCCACCGCCGGCGGTGACAGTGAATATGACTGGAACCCCCTCAAATGGGGTGCTCGTTCCATCCTGCACTTCAACGACAAACGGTCGATCGAGTGCTGCGCCGGGGGTGCCCTGTTGGTTATCACCTGAAATTTTCAGAGGGGGCGTAGGCGTTCGGTTGTCAAACACCACTGTAACCCCTCTGCTTTGGAGGATTGGAATATGTGTATGGATAGATTGGTAACTCAGGGGGTTTCCCCGCAAACGAACCGTGTCCCCACTCTCCAATCCGGTATTTGCTACCAATGGTGAGATGTCCGAGATGTTGTTGTTTCCAAGAAGCAACTCTGTTAGATTTGCTAATCCCTCAAGAGGTGAGAGGTCCGATATCGAATTGCCACCAAGATTTAGCTTTGTCAGGTTAGTCAAACCCGAAAGTACCGATACATCTACTATCCCGTTTTCCACTAGCCTCAAATCGCTCAGATTGGTTGCTAGCTCCAATCCGGTCAAATCACGAATCTGCGTCTCCCTTACCTCAAGGGATCGCAAGGTTTCTATCTCTACCGGGGCTATCGGGTCGCCCGGTGCTACCTTGAGAGCGGTCTCAATCGCAGCGCGGAGGTTGGCATCAGGAATATGTGCTGCAGCTTCTGCCACGGCGTTAAAGGTGACTGTAAACCCGCAGCAGATACCTCAACGGTGTTTGTTCCCAGATTTCGTCCTAGAGTGAGCGTGCTCTCTGCCCGTCCATTTTTATCGGTCGCGGTGCGGGTGACACTGAGCGATCCATCGCCTGCGGTGACGTTAAAGGTGACGGGAACTTCCCTACGCGCAGAACCGTCGTTCACCTCCCGCAATTCAACGATAAGTGGGATGGGTAGCGGTGTATTGGGTAAGCCACGCTGGTTATCTCCTGAGATTTTCGACAGCGGCTGAAGCGTTTCAGAAAACAGTATAAAATCGGTTCGGCTCATATTCCCATTCATATCAACGGCTTCGATACGAATTGGATGCGCCCCAGGATTGGAGAGACTTGTAGAGCGATTAGACGGAATAACGCCATTATAGTCGAATCTAACGACGGCATCTCTTTTGCCCCTCAATTCACGACATTCCTTTACTTCCATGTATCCGGCAGCCTCGTGAAATCCTCTTGTTGTAACGCATAGGAGTACTTGGTGAAGTCCTTCTGAATCGCTAACTTCGAGGTGAATCGGGGCACTCCCTGAACCTGCTGGGTATCGAGGAGATGAAACGAGTTTGATGGTTGGTGGTCGTTTTTCTTGAATTGAAGTATCGGGATTGAAGTAGGAATGCGCGGACAGGAATTTGGCACTGCATGAGGATAACTGATTTGGTCTTTTGCCATACGACATGATATACGCATTATTGCTGAAATCGTGCTGCAATCCGAAGGCGTGTCCCAGTTCATGTATCACCAATCCCCGATTAAATCCGCCAGAAATCAATGCAAAACCGCTATTTTTTCCGCCTCTGTCTCCGACACCTGCGAAATTTCTATCACCAATATTAATTGCATTTATACTATTGTCAATGAAGATGAGGTAAATGTTCGCAAAAAAGTCGAACTTTTCCCCGATCTCAGCATACACAGTATCGTCCGTTTCGTCAAGATAGCGACGATTGGGGTGTCGCCCATCCACACGATGGACTATCGGCTCGCCTTGGGAGTCGGTTTCAACGCGGAAGGCTACCTGCCCGTAGCCGTGTGCCTCCATCTGTTCGGCATAGAAGGTTTGAATTTTGCGAATCCCATCTTTCATCTTCTGGACGATGTCGGCGCGATACGGGCGGTCGTTGGGCAAGAAGTAGATCATCCGCACTGTGCGGGGGTCACCGAAGTTCACACTCGCCGCAGCAGATCGGGCATAATTGCGGTTGGGGAATTGGTCTGAGTCCTGTGTGTTCGACTGACTATCAATAACAGCGCAAAAGTGCATGTCGTTTCCCCCTGATGGTTGGGCGGCGGCAACAGCTGGGTTGAGTGCCCCGCCGGTGAGATAAATTATTATCACATACAAGGTGAAACGAAGGAATTGTTTGTTCATAGATTCCCTTCTTGAAAACATTTAGGTAAGGATAAAGGTTGACTCTAAAGGGCACCCTTCCGACGAAGCTCCTCGATCTCCTGTGGTGACATGTTGAGGTAATCTCCGAGCACTTCGTCTGTATGTTCGCTCAGTTTTGGTCCGCGGCGATGCTCAACTTCGGAATCGCTGATTTTAATTGGGCTTGCCACTTGACGCGCAACGCCGAACTCCGGATGCGGAATCTCAAGAATCATCTGATCTTCAGCCACCTGTGGGTCACGGAATGCTTCCTCGACGGTGTTCACAGGAGCGCACGGTACTTCGCCTTTGAGCAGGTCCAGCCACTCGGCGGTTGTCCGCTGGCGGAACAGGTCTTTCAGGATCGGCACCAGCGTTTCACGATTTTCTAACCGATCTGCGAATCCCCGAAAGCGCGGGTCGTCCGCTAGTTCCGGTGCACCCAGAATCCGCACCAGACTTTGGTAGAAATTCTGCTTTGCGCACGCCACGACAATCCAGCTATCCTTTGTCGGCATCACCTGAAACGGCACTTGAGACGGGTGTGAGGAATCCGCCATCCGTTGCGGCTGATACCCCTTCGTCAGATGCCAAGCCCCTACATAACCCAATTGGGACAGAGCGGTATCGAACAGGCTCACATCGACATCGCAGCCCAAACCGGTGTCCCGCGCCCGCAGAATAGCACTCATCAAGCCGAGTGCTGCCATCACTCCTGCGCTCAGGTCAACCAACGATAACCCGGTCTTTTGGGGTGGAGAGTCAGGTTCACCTGTTATGCTCATCCAGCCGGCATACCCTTGCATCAGGTAATCGTAGCCCGGTTCCGCGGCACGGGCACCGCTGCGTCCAAAAGCGGAGAGGGAGCAGCACACAATTGACGGTTTTACTTTTCCGAGTGTCGCGTAGTCCAAGCCGAGTTTGGCGGGTAGGTCGCCGCGCAGGTTGTTAAAAACGCTGTCCGAAATGGAGACCAGTCGATGGAAGACCTCGGTTGTGTCGGGGTGTTGCAGATTCAGGGTGATGCTCTTTTTGTTTCGGTTGAAACTCTGAAAATAGACGCTATCACGCTCAACGGTGTAGGGGGGAACATAGCGCGCCACGTCTCCGCCTGTTTCGGGATTTTCAATTTTGAGAATCTCTGCCCCTAGGTCTGCGAGCATCATCGTTCCCCAGGGACCCGCGCCGAACTGCTCGACCGAAATAATCCGCACCCCTTCCAGAGGTGGGCGAGCAACCGTGTTTCTTTGCACTTCTGTCATCTATTTTCCTTTATTTTAGTTTGTCGGAGCACAATTTATCGTGTGTGATTGAGAGTTCAAGAGCTCATTAGTTCATTGGTGGATTGGTTCATTTATTTTTCTTACGCATCACGCATCACGTTTCACGTTTCAGTCTAAGCTATTTCAGGGAAAAGTTCCTTTTTAGGGGCACTGTTCCGTTTGTAGACCATGATAGCCCGCACGAGATCGATGACCACTGCCCCGTCCTGATTAATGCCCCGCGAACAGACTCTGACAATACCCGCTTCGGGATATGAATTCGACTCGCGCTTCGATAACACCTCCGTTTCGCAATAGAGGGTATCCCCTATAAAGACTGGGTTCGGCAGTTTAATTTCTTCCCAGCCCAGATTTGCCATCGCATTTTCGCTGACATCTGGAACGCTCATGCCGGTGATCAGTGCCAGTGTGAAGGTGCTATTGACGAGGATTTGCCCCCACTTTGTCTGTTGGGCGTAGTTCTGGTCAAAATGCAATGGGTTGGTGTTATGGGTAAGTTGGGTGAACAGTGCGTTATCAGTTTCCGTAACCGTATGTCCAAACCTGCTTCGGTAGACATCCCCGACTTCAAAATCTTCATAGAAACGTCCCTCCCAACCGGTTTGAATTTTGTCTTTGGATTTCGGCATCTATTTCTCCCGTTATTAGTTCATTTATTCAGATGTAAGTTTTAATACATCCCAGAATATAACGCAAATTGCCATTTGTCGTTTCGTTGGGGTTATGAGTTGGGCAAGTCCGAGAGGAGCCCGTGACCGGGGCTGCCCGACCTACGGGTGGGGATAGAACGCGCTACTACGAACACCGGAACATGAGCCAAAACAGAAAACTAAATGACCCTACATCATCCCTTTTTGCCCTTGCGCCACCTTTGTGTTTGTGCTATAATTCACACATTATGAAAGATGCGAAGTCCGTTGCGACCACGGGTCCAGTTGCTACAAATAAGAAAGCGCGATACGATTATCACTTGATGGATCGTTTCGAGGCTGGGATGGTGCTTCAGGGAACGGAAGTCAAGGCGATTCGTGCTGGCAGGATGAATTTGACCGATAGCTACGCTCGTGTTGACGGAGGAGAGGTCTTTTTGATTGATGCCCATATCGGTCCTTACGAGCAAGGCAATCGTGAGAATCATGAGCCGAAGCGGAAGCGGAAGCTCCTGTTGAACCGTCGAGAGATTAAGCAGCTCGAAGGGAAAACTCGATCTACCGGCATGACGATTGTTCCGACGAAGGCTTATTTCAGTAACGGCAAGGTAAAGGTCGAAATTGCGATGGCGCGTGGTAAGCACGACTATGATAAACGCGAGGATATGCGGAGGGAAGTAGATCGACGGGCAATCCAATCGTATCTTCGGTAGCATCTGCATATACCGATTATAAGTCAGGAGCAAGAACAATTATGGCTTTCAAATTTCGGTGTAAAAACTGTGGCGAAGACATTGCTGTGAGGTTCTTGAAAGTTGGTGAGATTGCTGAATGCAAAAACTGTGGGGCAAGTAATTCTGTTCCCGACTCAGCAGAGGAGATTAGTGACGAAGCCGCAGAAAGTATGATAAAGGCCTCTGTTTCTGAATCTGCGGAAAGCATCAGTAATGAGCCCACGAAAAGTCTGCCTATAGCTAAGGCGCTACGCATAATCGGTATAGTCTCAATAGCCTTCGGGGTTATCGCAGGAATAGCTGTGGCTGTGCAAGTGATAAACCAGCATCCCGCACCCGATCAAACTATATCATTGGCTGTTAGCGTAGGTGTAACAGGGCTTGGTCTAATGTTTTATTTCTGCACTCTTGGTGTGCTTTCTTTAGGTATTGCCAAGGTTATTGAGTTGTTGGACAAATAAAAATGGGGATGATTACCTATTTAATACGGGGGTGAAAAGGTTTCGACGAGAGTAGATGACATAAAGGTTGCATGCCGAGGTTTCCGCAGGCCTCGTTAAACAGGCGGAAACAATTTAATTGCCGATGAAGAATTGGCTCTAGCCGCTTAATAAAGTGGCTCGTCCGGCTAATTTGCGGTTCCGTCGAGTTAGCCCGACGTCAACAAACGGACTATGCGCCTTACTTGTTCTCAAGGGGCATGGCGCGAGAATTAACTTGAGATAGTCCGCGGTGAATCCTGCATAAGTGAGTCCTGTGGACGAAACACCAAAACTTATGCTAAGCATGTAGTAGCCTTTATTTGAAGTGTTCTCGGACGCGGGTTCGATTCCCGCCACCTCCATTTTTTTAAGATTTTGATTCATTTTAGTTCATTGGTACATTGGTTCATTGAACGTTGCCCTATGCACATATCGCCCCTCTGGGGCTATGTTGGTTGTGGTACATTGGTTCATTGAACTGATGAACTCTATACATTGCTTTCACGTTTCATCTGCCATAAATGGCAATATCCTTGTAGCCTCCTGTCAGGCACAATTGAGTTAATCATTTTGATGTCTAACAATGTTACAAGGAGGAACTGAACCGTGCAAACGTTAAATCGAGCCAAGCTCATTGTGAGATCGCATGTGAACGATCTCCTAGAGAAAGCGGAAGATACGCGCAAAACACGCGGTCTGATGGTGGAAGAGATGCGCCAAAACGTGCGCCATGTAAAGGCTTTAATTGCAGGTGCGATTGCCGATCTCAAGTTGATAGAACGGGAGATCGACGCGCACGGAATTGAAGCCAAAAGGTGGGAGGAGAAAGCGGTTTTCGCCTTGAAAAAAGGGGAGGAAGATCTCGCTCGCCGGGCACTCACCCGCAAAGGTGAGCATGCAAACAAGGCAGACCTGTATCGTGAGCAGATCGAGACGCAGCAGGAGATCATCGACTCTCTCAAGTCCAGTTTGAAAACGTTAGAGACCAAGCTAGACACGACGCGCTATCAAACTGCGAAATTGGCTGCCGCTGAAAGTTTAGGGGTGTTGCAGTCCACTGTCGGCGCAACGTCACCGGCTGATGCAGTCATTGACACCACCGCATTTGATGCTTACGATCGGTTAGTTGATCGTGTCCGCGATCTCGAAGTGCATGCGGAAGCATTGGCTGAGTTGACACAAGGCGATGACCTTGAGCAGAAGTTTCATGAACTCGAGAACAGCGAAAAGATCGAGGCAGACCTTGCAGCGTTGAAAACCAAAGTCCATCCTGAGAATCAAGATCCCTAACGGAGTGACGTGGATGGCTGATTTTCATCGGTTACCGTTTCGCATTCAGGAGACAACCCAAGCGCAACTGAGTGCGGATGAGCAGATCAGGTTGTGTACGCTTGGGAGATCTAGCCTGCTGAATCCCGATTTCGTCGTCATCACTTCTGACCGGGTGTTGGTGTTAGAGGAGCGTCAGATGGGAAGTATGAGTGCTTCCTACATCAACATTCGGTGCAACCTCCCGTTTTCTCAGATTACCGCGATCGAACTGAACCAAAGTCTCAAACACCGCATCTTTGGTCAAGCTGCCCTTGAAATTACAGTGAACGGGGATAAATATCTAATTGACAACATCAGCTACCGCGATGCCAAACGCGCAATGACGTTGATTTCCTCTTGCCGCGAATGACCTGTGAGCGGGGGTAGATATGGGCGATTTTCTTAATTACATCTTTGTCTGGTATAATGTTTGGTTTACGGCACCGATTGCGTTCATGTTTCTCTTTGCTATCTTCCAGCTTGTTATGGGCGGTCTGGATTTTGGGAGCGGAGACACCGATGTGAACGTTGATACGGAGGTCGATGCCGATGTGGACGTTGATACCGATGTCGATGCAGACGTTAATGTCGGCAGCAGTTCGGGCGGCAGCAGCTTTACCGCCGGCGTGTTAGGCATTTTGAACGTTGGCAAAGTGCCTTTTACGGTCCTCTTGATGGCGCTTTTTGCGACTTGGGGAATCTCAGGCTTGATTGTTAATGAGATTCTGAATGTCGATATCCACTCCCCCACGATACACGCTCTGGATCTCTGTTGGGGTTGCCTTTCTGTGTAGCGTATTTGGCACCCGCTACCTAGCATTGGGACTTTCAAAAATATTTCCCGAAAGTGACCGTGCTATTACCGATTATCACCTGATCGGTCTGAGAGGTCGAGTGATTAGTGGTCGGGTCACAACAACCTTTGGTACAGCGCGTGTCCCGGTGCCACAGGGTCCCGAATTGACCGTCAGTTGTCGTGTCTCTGAGGGCGACGATGTTCCCGTAAAGGGAGACACAGTGATTCTCATTGATTACGATTTGCAGGAACGGATTTTTGAGGTGACGAAAGAGGATAGTTCACTTATTTCGTTATAATGGTTCGACGCGTATCCTTACGCGAGGAGGCTGAAAATGGAAGACCTGAGTTTGACACCTTTTTTCGGTATTATCGCTGTAATTGCAGCGTTTTTCCTGATTATGTTTCTTACCTACAAAGCACTATATAAAAAGTCCCCCGCTGATGCCGCATTGGTCATTTCAGGCGGTAAAAGGAAGAGTGTTGTCTTTGGCGGTAAAATCGTTAATCCACTGACAAAAGCAACACAACTGGTTTCGTTGAATACCATGCAGCTTTTAGTTCAACGGGCTGGACCGGATGCCTTAATCACAAAAGACAGCCTACGTGTTGATATTGAAGCCCAATTCTATGTGAAGATCGAACCCAATGAACAGGATGTCCTCAGTGCGGTTGCAAGCCTTGGGGATAAAACCTTGGAGCCGGAGAATGTGAAAGCTCTGCTTGAAGGAAAACTGGTTGGGATACTACGGAGTGTGGCAGCAACAATGGACCTTCAAGAACTTCATGAAAAACGTCAAGATTTTTCAGATCAGGTTCGGGAAAGCTGCAAAGATGATCTTGAACAGAACGGTTTTCAACTCGAAAGTGTTGCAGTGACGAACCTCGATCAAACCCCTCTCGACCAACTCGATGCAAACAACCGTTTTGATGTGGTTGCTATTCAGACTATCAATCAAGAGGTTCAAGAACGGCAAACAAGAACGGAACAAATTAAGCATGAAAACAGAGTCAAACAAGAGGAAGATAAACTGAGAGCAGACTTGGCGATCAAGCAGCAGGAGGAGGCAACGCAGACAGAGAGCCTAGAGGTCGAAAGGCGACTGGCATTTGCCCAAGAGATACAGCGCAAAGAGGTTGAGACGAATAAAGCGGAACAAGAACGTATCGTCAAAGAGGCAGAACTTCAGCAACAACAAGCCCTTGAGGAGGCGCGTATCCGTCAGGAAGAAGTGGTACAATCTTCGCAGATCCAGCAGAAACAGCGGATTGAAACCGCTCGAATTGATCAGGAGCGGCAGGTCCAAGAAGCGGAGATAGAACAGAAAAGGGCTCTGGAGACTGCGCGTGTGTCTCAGGAACAAGAAGTTCAAACTGTTGAAATTGAGCGAGACCAATCAATTGAACAAGCCCGAATTGAGCAGGAACGCACCGTTGAAGAAGCGCGCGTCCGTCAACAACAGGCAATCGAGGAAGCCAATGTTAGAAGGCGAATCGTGCTTGTTGAGAGAAATCGAGAAGAAAAAGAGACCCAAGCCGCAAGCGAAATTCAGATTGCGGTGAAGGAGAAGGAACTCGAAATTGCCTCTACAGATCGGTTGGCTGCAACCGCTGAGCGGACCAAATCTGAAGCCCAAGTCTTGACGGTGGAAGCGATTGAGGAGGCCGAGCGTAATAGCCGAATCGCGTTAATCAGAGCCGAACAGGAGGCGGATGAAGAGCGCATTTCAAAGGAACGACTGGCAAATGTCGAAGCCTACGCTGTTATCGAGGCCGCTAAAGCGGAGCGAGAAGCTGCCACTCTCAGAGCAGAAGCACAGAAGATGCTCGCTGAAGCACTCTTGGTTGAAGCAAAAGCGAAGGCGGAAGGGGAAGAGGCACTTATTGAAGCGAAGAACACAGCGGATCAGCGGATTCTGAATAACGAGGCGCTGTTGAAACTGATCCAATCCCTGCCCGAAGTCACAGGTCAATTAGATGAAACCCGCGGAACAGATTGAAAGCATCCGCATCCTTGACCTTGGCGGAAACGGAGCTGGAAACGGTGCTCCGGGCGGGAACATGGGTAAGATTTTCGGATCCATTTTGCAGGCTGGGGCAGCATTACCAATGCTGAAAGAGGTCCTGAATTTTGGAGGTATTGACCCTCAGGATCTCGCCAAGACCGTGAGCCAATATGTTCCTGGCTTGGATCTGACCGCCAAAACGGAAACACCGGAATCAACTGACCAAGATTCAACATGATATAGCACTGGTTGAGATGACAAACCGGAGTCGGTAGTAGCAGACAATCTGGAATTGTCGATGACGAGAATGGCAACATTCTTGTAACATACCTCGCACCATCGGCGGCTCCAATGAATTTCAAATTAGCAACAAAGGAGTCTAAGATGAAAGAACAAGCCGATGAACATCTCCAAATGGACGGAAAGAACATGATCGCAGTGGAAGTGGCGTTCATTTCTATTGATGCGAGTAGTGGCGCACCGATTCTCTTTTTGAGGGAGACAGAAGGCGATCCAAAATTGGTGCTACCTATATGGATCGGACAGGGGGAGGCGCTCTCAATTCAATTCCAGCTCAAAGGTGAAGAGCCGCTACGTCCGATGACACATGACCTCATGAAAAACATCATCGAAAGCCTTGATGGGACAGTTGATGCGGTCTACGTACATACCATGAAAGACTCAACCTATTTTGGGCAGATCAATGTGGTAGCCAATGGCAAAACGTTGGAGATTGATGCTCGCCCAAGCGATTCGATCGCGCTCGCCTTGAGATTAGAAGTGCCTATCTATGTGGCAGAATCGATTGTTCAAGAGATTGGCTTCCCTGAGACAGAGTTGAGGGAAGCAGAGCGGCAGCAGTCTCAAGACGAGTTAGAGCATTTAGATGAAGAAACACTGGGCAGATATACGGTGTAATTGCTGAGAGTAGGCAAGGGAGTGACCATCAATGCCGATCTTTGAGAAAATCAGGCGGATATTCAATTCAAACATAAACGACCTGCTAGATCGGGTTGAAGATCCGGAAAAGATCTTGAATCAACTCTTGGAGGATATGCAGCACGAACTCAAAGAGGTAAAGATTCAAGTCGCTGCGGCTATCCGGGACGGAAACAAATTTGAAGCGCAGTATAAGGAGAACTTAGAGGGCGCTGAGAAGTGGGAAAAGCGTGCCATCGTGTTTATCCAGAACGGCGATGATGCCCGCGCAAAAGAAGCCCTTCGCCGCAAGCGGTCTGCCGACGACTTGGCAGCGGGTTTTTGTGAGCAATTTGAGGCGCAGCAAGGGAGCGTTTCCGTACTTAAAGATGGGTTGGCAACCTTAGAACAAAAAATTGAAGAGGCAAAGAGCAAACGTGCGTTGCTGATTGCTCGCCAAAGGCGGGCAGAGGCGGAACGGGCAATCCATCAGACCGTGTCGGGTCTTTCGGATTCGAGTGCGTTGAACGCTTTTGATCGCATTCAAGATCGAGTCCTTGATGCGGAAGCAGAGGCTGAAGCACTTAGCGAAATGCGTCAACCCAGTTTGGAGGATGAGTTTGACAAGCTCGACAAGAAAGACGAAATTGATGATGAACTCGCCAAACTCAAAGCCCGCTTAAAGGAGTGAAAATGAAAAGGAGCTGCATCCAATGGGGTTACTGAGAAATCTTGCCATTCTAGTCTTAATATTCCTGCTGATTTTAATCGCATTGAGGATTGTTTTACCTGTTATCGCTTGGGCGTTTGAACTCGCTTTCACCCTCATCTTGCTCGGCGCGATCGGTTTTGCAATCGTGTATCTCTACCGAAAACTTCGCACATAACGTTCACTATATTCATCTTGACCATATCCGCAATTGAACCGCAAAAAGCCGGGAAGGAGTATATCTCCTCACCCGGCTTTTTTTATTTTAGGACTTACGCACTCGAGTTTGTAGTAGCGCAATTCATTGCGCGTCTTTAAGGTAGTAGGCATACGCCGTATGCCGTAACCATTGTGCAAATTACGGTACAGCGGAGCCTACCTACTACTGTGGGACTAATTGTAGTTGCCCGATTCATCGGGCATCGAGATGAATCGCCGAACTACGGGTTCTCCCCCTTTACAAGGAGGAGTTAGAGGGGGCGCGGTTCAGCGCAGCACAAGACTTTGAACGTTCAGCTGCGTAAGTCCTATATTTATAACGCAGGGTGCACATGTCGTCTCTCTGGGGTTTGGAGATTGATTTTACCGTTCAACCCAACCTACGCCCCTGTTTCTGTAGGTCGAGATTCACATCTCGACAAAATACTGATTCGGACAATATTTGAGCTATCTTTGTAGGGAACAACGATCGTTGTTCCCTACTGAAGTGCGTCCGTCGGACAATAGGGGAATTGTGTTTGTTATAGAAGTTAGGGTTGTCTAACTTGCGGGTAATCACAGGTTGGAAACCTATGCTACTATCTATTGCGCTCCTTTGGAGCGCAGGGATTGGGACATATCCCGTTCTATAGACATTGCGCCCCGCTGGGGGCGACAGAGTGAAGATCTAAGATAGAAAGCAATAAGAGTCTGGTTAATTGGGTGCTAGTGGCAACTTGAGTTATGAAAACTAACAGGGTTGTAAAATAATTACGCTTGACATCGTTTCAAATAAACTGTTATCATAAGCCCGATTTTAGAAATGAGAGATCGGATTTCTATTACACGCCAAGTGAATTAAAATTCCGCAATTGAAAAATGGAACGAGGTGGACTTTGAAAAGAAGTTGTTTTGTATTGATAATTAGTCTCCTCTGCTTGATTGCCCTTCAAGCGAGCGCAGAAATTAAATGGGATTCATCGAAATTTATGCCGTTAGCAGAGATTGCGCCCGGCGTGAAAGGGGAGGGATATACCGTCTTTTCGGGCACAACTGTTGAAAAGTTTAATTTTGAGGTGGTCAGTATTGAGTACAATTTCTCTCCCAATTGGCACGTGATATGGGTCAAAGGTAGTGGCGAAAACTTTGAAAAGACGGGCGTCGCCGGCGGTATGAGTGGGAGTCCGATGTATATTAACGGACGGCTCATTGGCGCGATTTCTCTCGGCTACTTTTACCAGCGCGAACATGCAAACCTCATGGGAGTGACACCGATTGAGTTAATGGTTGAGGTGACACAACGGGGGATGCAACCCAATTTGAGTTATCGGGGTGGAACGCGCCTTAACTTCGGGACAGACACGGTATCAAATGGCATCGAAATGTTGCCCCTGACGCCCGACAAAAAACAGATCCCCGAAGCACGAATGGGAATCTTACCGTCTCCCGATCGGTTCGAGAAGTCTCCACATCTTCAGATGCCTGTTGCGTTTTCAGGATTGCCGACGGGTGCGATCGGATTTTTCAAGCAGTTTTTTGACGCATATCATCTCAGTCCGATACAAGGCGTGGGCGGAGGTTCACCCGTTGGTAGTGCACCGATTGAGCCGGGACAGATTGTGGGGCTTGAGTTTGTCCGTGGGGCTTTCACCGCCTTCGGATACGGCACTATGACCTATATTGAAGGCGATCAGCTCTTGGGCTTTGGTCATTCGATGTTCGGCGAGGGCAACGTCAACCTGCCGATCTCCGGCGGTTATGTCCACTTCATTTTACCGAGTATACAGAGATCTTCCAAGATGGCTTCTCCGACACAACCGATTGGTACACTCGTGCAAGACCGTCAGGCGGCGATTGCTGGCTTGATTGGTTCCCATCCCAGTTTTATTCCTGTTAATGCCAACATCCAGACAATGGATGGGAAGGTCCACCCAACGCACTATGAAGTAATTCGTCATCGCGATTTTTCGACGCTATACACCCTCCTCCCGCTCTGGTTCATTATTGATGGTATCGAAATCTACAGTGGTGATCACTCCGTCAACGTTAACGCGAAAATCGTGCTGAAAGATCAGCCGAATCTGACATCGCGCGAAATTGTGCGGAGGAATGTGTACTCCTCCAGTGGCTCGCCGGGGTTTCAGGCGACCCGCGCACTGACTCCGCTGTTTAGCTTAATTGGCAATCAATATGAAAAGATTGATGTGGAGCGGATAGACCTCGATATCAAAATGGAGGACAAACGGAAAACAGCGGTCATCGAAGCGGTACGGATCGACAAAAATCGATACCGTCCCGGCGAAAAAATTGAGGTGACCATGCGCCTGCGTCCATACCTCGAAGCACCGATCATCCAGACCGGTACGATCACGATTCCGGAAGATGCTCCCGAAGGTTTAACCACCCTTCTCGCTATCAGTCCGGACTTATATGAAAGTTGGCAGCGGGCAAGGGCGCCCTTAAACTATCAACCGACAAACATCAACCAATTGATCAAATTGTTGCAGCGGGAGGAAAACAACAGTGATATCATCTTGGAACTGTTTGTGCCCAAGGTGGGTATGACTGTTCAGGGGGAGGAGTTTCCTGAACTGCCGGTATCAATGCTCTCCGTGATGAGCACACCCACGCAATCTGGCGAAGGTGGACCCACTCGTGGCACAACGCTGCATTTTGAAAAGGTTACCACGCCCTATGTGGTCTCTGGCAGTCGATTTTTGCGGTTTACGGTTGACCGCAATGCCCCGTAATTTTCCAGGATCGATAGATTCCGCTGATGCGTGAAATAAACCAATGAACTAACTTAACGGAGGATTTCTCTTTCATGGCGTTTTACCGTGCTTTTTATATTTTTAGTGTCGCTGTCGTTTTCTTTTCGATCCATCTTCTACCAGTGTTCGGGGTGACGACACGGATCTGGGAACAACAAAACCAAAAGGACTTTGAATCTGGTAAGTTCAAAGATGTTTCGCTCTCAAGTAAGGGTGAACTCATGTTGGCTCCTAAATTGGATGCCTTCTTTGAAGATACCAAAGAGATATACATCTGGTGCCTCGCCGAAGATTCCAAAGGAAACATCTACGCGGGCACAGGAAATGGGGGCAAGATTTACCGAATCACTCCCGATGGTCAGTCATCGCTTTTTACGATTCACCAGAGGTTTCAATCTTGACGTTGGCTATCGACCCCAACGACAACATCTATGCCGGTACAGCCCCGGACGGGTTAATCTACAAGCTCACGGACAGTAGCACCCCGCCAACAACGATACTCAGTTCGGAGGAGAAGTACGTTTGGGCGATGACCTTTGATGAGGCAGGGAACCTATATGCATCGACCGGCACCAGTGGGAAAATTTACAAGATTACACCCGATGGACAGACCAGCGTCCTCTATGATTCCGACGAACGCAACATTTTATGTCTGCTCTATCATCAAGGAATGCTGTATGCCGGTAGCGATGGCAAAGGGACTATCTATAGTGTTAAAACGGAGGACGGTGCGGCTACTGTGATCTACCAAACGGGGCAGAAAGAGGTACGCAGGCTTGTTATCGGGGCGCAGGGGTTAATCTATGCCGGAACCATCACGACAGCAGCACCACAGCCCGGCGGTCCGCCCCCGCCTCCCGGTCCTCCGGGTCCTGGGGGTCGTAACACCGAAGAAAAGAAGTCGAGGGTCTACAAAATTCAGCCGGATGGCATCGTATCTGTTATGTGGGAAGCACCTGATCCCTTGATTCTGGCAATGGTATTTGATTCGGAGGAAGGTCTCTATGTCGGTACAGGGGATAGTGGTAAGTTGTACTGGGTCAACACAGATGGCGATTCTGTACTGAAGGGCAAATGTAGCGTGAGCCAGATCTTGGCGATTCATCGCACCGCAAATTCAGATCGGTTCTTACTTGCCACAGGAAACGCCGGGAAGATTTTTGAATTGAAATCGGATTACCTCGCGGAGGGAACGCTTGAATCCAAGGCGCACGATACCAAAGTCGTTTCGCGATGGGGTAAGTTATCGTGGGAGGGTGTCACACCCGAAGGGACGGCTATCTCTTTTGCCACTCGTACTGGCAACACGGAGAAACCCAATAGCACATGGAATGACTGGTCAGAAGAACTAACAGACCCCGAAACCTCCCAGATTACCAGTTCCGCCGCACGATATATTCAGTGGCGTGCCAAACTCACGACGAGTGCGGTTTCTGCGACGCCTGTCCTCAAAAAAGTGACCGTCGCTTCCGTTCAGGCCAATACCGAACCGCGATTCACCTCGATTGAAGTCCGCCGAGGCGGTGCCCCCGAAAGTCCCGGTCCGCCTGAAGGTGTTCGTAGACCACGGGAAAGCCGGACCCCCTCCAATTCCAATTCGAGTGGAGATAATACAAAATATACCGCTTCGTGGAAGGTGAAGGACGAAAATAGTGATACGTTGCAGTTCAACGTCTATTACAAGGGGATTGATGAGACAAATTGGAAACTCCTTAAAAAAGAGTTGAACGAGAGCAGCTATGCTCTGGACACCACTTCAATGTCCGACGGACGCTACGTGGTCAAAGTCAACGCGACGGACAAACTCAGCAATCCACCCAACTTTGCGAAGTCTACCGAGAAGATTAGCGACCCCTTCGATATTTTGATAACAGCCAACCAATGGTCACCGATATAACTGCGACGGCGAATGAAGATCAAACCTATCAGATTACCTGTACGGCGGAGGATCTAGCCAGCTACATTCAGAAAGCGGTCTACAAAATCGACAGCGATGAACATTGGCAGGTCATCTTCCCCGACGATGGCATCTTCGACTCCAAGCGCGAAACCTTGTCACTTCATACGAACTCCCTACCAGCCGGTGAACACACCATCACCATTCGCGTCACCGATGCGGCAGGGAACACAGGCGTGGGACGCGCAACTTTCTAGCTCATTAGTTGACTGAACTCCTGAACGCTATGCCTATCCTCTCGTTGGGATTTTGGGCGATAGCTTGCGTTAGTCTACGGGAGAGACACTCATCATGAAAGCCAAATCTCTAGCATTAATTGTCGGTCTAATCCTTTGCGGCATTGCATGCAGTCAGGTCCCCGCGGCAAGGGAAGTGTCTGAAGAAGCCGTTGTATTCCGTAAAATGAAAGACGCAGTTTTTACGATCTACGGAGACAGAGGACATGGAAGTGGTTTCTTGGTTGACAAGGGTGGGCTCATTCTTACCAATGCCCATGTGATTGCTTCTTCAAGCCGCATTTTCAGTGCAGCTAAATCCCAACACCCGCATCCCGGCAACACTTCTCGCTGAAGACAATCAAAAGGATATTGCTGTTCTGCGGGTTGCCCCAGAAGTCGTAAAGGAACTGCCAATCCTTAAAATCGCCGACAGACCAGCTGCCGATATTGCATTCGAGGGCGAAAGAGTTATCGCCATAGGGAGTCCTCTAAATCAAACCCGTATTCTCACATCTGGGATCGTAAGTAAAGTTGAGGAACGCGCCATTATTTCAGATGTGAACATTAACGGAGGAAATTCAGGGGGACCTTTAATTAACATGGATTCCGAGGTCATTGCAATCAACACATTTGGTGATTTTCGATTGGGAAAAGGGCCCGGAGTCTCCGGCAGTATTTCAATATCCCTTGCCCTGCTCCTCCTTGACCAAGCCCGTGGCAGGCTCCATGAAGACCCGCCCCCTCCCACCCTTTTGCCTGTTGCTCCTGAAGACCCTTTTCCGATAGAAGGCATGAAATGGGCAGCCGAACGGTGTGGCAAAGCCTCCAACTATACGCTAAAGGCACCTGGTTTCGATATACAGATCCTTACTCCGTCACGTCAATATTTTCTCGCAAAGATTTCAACGGGACCTCTTACTGAGAAACGTCGGGGCAGGGAAGCTGCCGCAGGGGTCCCTCAATCGGAGATGTATGATCCTTTAGGAGACCTCCTAATGGAATGGAGAGAGTATGTGGGAAAGTATAGTCCACTCGTGGAAATCTATGTTGTGCCAGCCACGGGTCAAACTACTGGTAGCACTCTCTTAAATATTCTTGGAGCGGCGGCAGCAGGTTACTCCGGCACCTATTACCAAGGTTCATACACTTACGAATTTAAATCAGATTTGCAGGATCTTGAACTAATGGATGGAGGTAATGCTGTCCCAGAGGTGCTCAGGGAAATGGGGATGATGCCTGTTTCTTTCTCTGAAAGATCCGTAAAGATGGAAGACATTGCCCAAAGAGGCGTGTTCATGTTTCTGCCAGAGGTGTTCAAATCTAGAAATCTTCGACTAAAGATCCTTGATCTAAAAAAGCCGGGACAGGTTATCAATGTTCCAATTCCACAGGCGTGCCGAGAGCAGATCTTGGCAGATTTTGAGCCTTACATGGACATGCAAAACGCTGCGGAAGCAAGGCTTCGACTTATGATAGAGTAGTAATTCAGGTCGTGAAGGGAAATCTCGAATGGCCTACTGCTTGAGGTTTATGCGGGTCAATCAATATTTAGTTCTAATATTAATCGCAATTGGATTCACAGCATTCCAACAAGGTTGTACGACACCCTATACCTACTCGTATCCAGGCCGTACCTCATTTTCTGTAGACAACACGAATCGGCTGCATACCGGGATGAATCCCGATGAAGTTCGAGCCATTTTTGGTTCCCCCGACAAAATCTATGATGCGCCTTTTGGAAAAAACGTTGGGGAACCGTGGACGGGCCGGGTTTGGCTATACTTCACAAAAGTAGATCGGAAATTCATATACGTCAAGCGATACAAAAAGAATCTGTTGGTCTTTTATCCGCCCGGTGGGCAGATGAGGCTTAACCATTGGATCATTGAAGAATAGCTGAAACTGTCATTTGTGGTAGATTCTTCAGTGATATAGGTTGGGTTGAACGGTTAAACGTGAATGTCCATCAGGGACAATAGTACCACCTTTCAACGACACAATCTTATAGATAGATATAGTGAAACCCAACACGCAATCCAACCGACAATCAAGTGTCGGGTTTCACTAATATTGAGGAGACTTCAGGTTTCCGAATGAACTTTGAAGCCCTTTTCTGTGCATAGTTTTTAGTGGGTTTCCGTTCAATCCAACCTACGTACTACCGTCAATTGAGGAAAATTCTATGATTATTGACTCACACAGTCACGCATGGCCACGTTGGCCCTACCAACCCCCTGTTCCTGACGGCGATAGTCGTGGCAGGCTTGAGCAACTCCTCCACGAAATGGATCGGCACGGCGTTGATCAAGCCGTTCTGGTTTGTGCGCGAATCGATCACAACCCGGATAACAACGACTATATTTTCGAGTGTGCCAAGCAGTATCCAGATCGTATCATCCAATTCGCTGATGTCGATTGTTCATGGACGGATACCTACCACACCCCCGGTGCCGCGGATCGGCTCGCGGAGGCGGCGGATAAATACGCGCTGAAAGGGTATACACACTATTTCAGGGGAGACGACGATGGCAGTTGGTTCTTTTCAGATGAAGGGCAGCGATTCTTTCAGACCACCGCAGATAGAGGGTTGATTGCCAGCCTCGCAATGGGACCGAACCTACAGGCGCCATTACGCAAATTGGCGGCACAGTTCCCTTCCATCACCTTTCTCTGCCACCACATGGGCGGTGCAAGAGCCGGGGAAGAATCCCCTTATCCGAACTTAAACGAGATCCTTGCGTCAGCGAAAGTGCCGAATATCAACATCAAGATGTCTGGATTCGGGTATGTCTCCCAAGTCCCGTGGGGTTATCCTCATTCGGATACCGGCTGGATTGTTCGCTCACTCTACGAACATTTCGGTCCCGATCGCCTCTGCTGGGGGTCGGACTACCCCGTGGTTCGTTCCTACATGACCTACCAACACTCCCTCGAAGCGTTCCGCACACACTGCACCTTCATCCCAGACGCCGACAAGGCACGGATCCTCGGTGATTCCCTCAACCGGTTGCTGACCGTGGGACAGAATGCTTAATCCGCAGCGGTCAACCTCCTTTGAGGGAGTACGGCACTTTTGCGGAAATCCCAATCATGCCAGACGCTCTAGAATCGACATTTTTTTGACTTCTGTTGAGGTGCAGATGTATAATAGTTTGCATTACCTTTTAGCATATAAAGCGCATATAACCTGTGTGATTGCAGAATCTAACCTAACCGGGGATCAGTTGTGAATACTGAAAAGAGAACGCGGAAGGCGGTCCACAAATCCACGGGGGATATTGTCGAGAGTTCATGAACAAAAAGGACAATAAGGGTCAATTTTATTGTGACGCACATCACTATCAATTTAGGTTAAGATAATAGGACAGCCGACTTCTGTCACCGATGAAGATGTCGAATCACTTATTTTTTCCTTAAACAACCACTGGAGGTTCAAAATGAACATCAGACAGTTCACCAAATTCGCGTCTGTCTTGGCGATTGTCGCACTCGTTGTGGGGCTTTCCGTCTATAACCCGATTGGGCAACTTGTCGTCGCCGCACCACCTGAGATGAAAGATGTAGAGAGAGAGATTTCCATTGGCGTTGTTGTAGCACAGACAGGGCGATTCGCTTCCCCGTATGGTCTGTCAATGCTGAATGGCTTTGAGCTAGCCCGCAAACAAATGAACAACTCAGGAATACTCGGCAACACCAAGATCGCCTTCATCGTTGAGGATGATCAGAGCGTGAACGCCGTTGAAGCGGTCAGCAAATTGATTCATCAAGATGGGGTGCCTGCTATCGTTGGTTTTGCTATTTCAACTCAGCTTGAACAGGTAATTCCAATTGCCCAAGAAAACAGCGTTATCATTGTTAGTTCGGTCTCGTCTGCCCCAGGTCTGAGTGCGCGTGGCGATTTTATCTTCCGCTCAGGGCTTAACTCAGGTGTGCTTAATCCCGCTGCTGTCAAGGCGACTCAGAAGAAATACGGTTACAAGAGGGCAGCTACAATATATCACCACCGCGATACCTACTCTACCGGTAGCGACGAAGCGTTCAGGGCAGCGCTTGTCGAGAGCGGTGTCAAGATTGTAGCCACAGAGATCTACGAAGGTGACGAAACCGACTTTTCGGCGCAATTAACTCGGATAATGAAGTTAAATCCTGATGTCCTCTTTATCTCCGCTTTAGGATCCCACATACCTCCGATTCTGATTCAAGCGCGCGCTCTCATGCCTAGTATACACGTTATTGTTCCCGAACTGACTAGTATTGAGGTGGAAGCCGCGGGCGCTGCTGCCGAGGGGGCAGTTACTTCTATAGGTTGGCTCAGCACGGCTGACACGCCATTGAGTCGAGTATTCGTCGAGAGTTATATCAGGACATACGCGGAAGAGCCGTCTGCTTGGGCGGCGCAGTCGCATGCCGCGTTCCATATTCTTGCCATGGCGATAGCAAGAGCGCAATCCGTCAATGCAAGTGCGATTCGGGACGCGTTAGCGAAGACTACGGACTTGGACACCGTTTTGGGTAAATTCTCTTTCGACCCCGATGGAGAGGCGGTTTATGACCCGATAGTCCTTACCGTCAAAAACGGCGTTTTTGAGATCTTTGAGTAATCCTCGACGGTAGATGTGCATTACTGGACCCTGTCATCCGCCGCTATATGGTTTTACCTTGCTTTGGAGGTATTAGCGATGTGTTATTGCTATCGGTGACTCCCTCAACTGGCTACTAACTGTGGGACAAGGTGCCTTAGCCCCAGGCACCAACCCGCTTTGAGGGAGCGCGGCGGCTTTGCGGAAATCCCAACCATGCCAGACGCTTCAGATCCGAAATTCCTTGCCGATGAAAATGTGGGTAAATTGGGTAGGTGGCTGCGGATTTTAGGATATGATGTCGCCTACCAATCTCCCGCGCTTGATGCACAGCTCGCGCTCAAAGCGTTGCGTGAGAATCGGGTGATTCTGACGCGGGATCGGGAGTTTGTGGAGCGTCGTATGGTTGAACGGTATCTCCTACTCATCAGCCAAGATCCGATCGAGCAGCTCAAGCAGGTCATCCAGACGTTTCACTTAAAGCTCGATCGCAATTCCTTCTTTACCCGTTGCCTCGATTGCAACACCCCTATTGAATCCGTTCCCAAAGCGGAGGTGCAAGCAATTGTGCCGGCCTATGTCTATCGCACGCAGGATCAATTTCATCGATGCCCGACCTGTAACAAGCTCTTTTGGGCGGGCAGCCATACGACCAATTTTCAGGATTGGCTGAAGCGGGTGAGTGAGGCATGAAAAGGGAGAACGGGGGAGCGAGGAAGCGAGGAGTGGGCAAACGAGAGAACGGGAGGGGAAATTTACGCAAAGGCGCAAAGACGCAGGGAAGAGAAAAACGAGAGAACGGGAAAACGGGAAAGCATGGATTGCTATAAACATGTCGCCCCGCTGGGGCTTTAGGGGATTTGGTTTGCCCATTTCTATATACATGTCGCCCCGCTGGGGCTAGATGAACCAATGAACCTTACACTTCAATAATTTCCACGTTTGCGCGTGGCAGGACAACCTTGTCTCCATCTTCCAGTTCAACTTCCAGCACACGCACCTTTGCCTCCGTCTCAATCTCTTGTAGTTCGACCGGCAGGGCGGCCACACGTCCCAACCGTCCGAAATAAGGTTCACGAATGATGCGGATCTGGGTCCCGATAGTGAGCGCATTGCCCGTGCCTCCTGTGCCAACCGTTTCCTCCCGCGCCTCGACAGGGATGATGATTGCTGGTCTCACGACGCCAGCGCGAATCTGTGTCGCACCGTTAACCGAAGCTGTCATGCCTTCCTGTGCTTTGAGTAGATCGAAGGTTCGTGCCGCCATGTTTATCTCCCCAAATCCTTCCGTGATCACCAGTGTCAGACCGAGCGTCTCTGAACCTGTGATGGCAACTCCAAGTTCGTATCCCAACAGGGCACGGAGATCACCGTCATGAATGCCGCCCACAATTATCCCCTTGACACCCTGCCGAATTGCTTCCTGAATTGCATCGTTCCCAACAACGGCACCGCCGCAAAGGATCTTGTCTCGATGTGTGGGTTGGATGAGGGCTTTGGTCAATGGGGCATTTGGGGAATCTACAACGACTTCGAGCCTGCCCAACCGTTTCCCCACCGATGCCGAAAATTCCTTGGATGTGCGTCCCGTACGTTTCTATGACCGCACCTTCGTTGGAGATAACCTCGACAATCGACCCGGAGATGTGCCCCATCACATTGACAGGGATTGGTGCTTCGCGAATGATCACCTGTCCCGTGACATCGGAGATGCTTTCGATCGTCCCATCAATCGGAGCGCGCGCTTGGGACTTAAACAGTCCGAACAAGCCCTTTGTCTCGCCGATAATCTCATCTTTTGCGATCGGTTCTCCCTCTTTTTTGAGCATGTAATCCCTTATATCTTCGGTGGGGATACTCAGTAAATTTGCGATATTCACAAGTTGAACGTTCCCCGGCAGTGCTGCTGTTGCAACCACATCCTCCGCCTCGATTCTATCTCCCACTTGAACAGTCACTTCTCCCTCGATTGGGAGTCGGCGTTCATTGCGTATCGTCGTGCCCGCCGCAACTTTGAGTCCGGGGGTGTATGCCTGTGCCATAAATTCGCCCTTTTGCGTGAAGTTTAATCTATTTCAAGAATCGCAGTTTAATTTGTTGTAGAACAGGCTTAATGATAGCAAATTCCTTCTTAAAAGACAATGTAAATCAAAAAGGCAACAAAGGTGTTGACAACGCAATCCTACCCCATTATAATGACGAAAAGATGCCCGCCGCAATTTGTATCTTCACCGCTAACCATCTGATTTCTTGACCGGAGACCGTTTTTATGAACGCAACCGCCGAAATCCTGAAGGGCAACAACCCCATGAAGGTTGAACAGATCTTTGGTCCCGACATCAAACCTTATGAGGTACTTGAGTTTGAGTCGATGCTGCGATATGAAGATTTTCAGATGTTCAGCGAGTATGGGTTTCAAAAAAACGGGCGGGTCATCATTACAAGGGCACCGGCACGACTAGATGTAATGGGCGGAATTGCGGCACACTGTGGTGCTAACGTCCTTGGATTGACACTTGAACGTTCTGCGGTTGTCGGTTGTCAGGCGAGGCAAGACCGTCGATTGAGTGCCTTAAGTTTTGACACGGCGATACACGGATATCAGTCCGCCTTCCAGATCTCCATTGACGATTTCTACACAGATGGGAACCTAAAATCCTACGGAGCGTGTCCAATCGCTTTTCGCGCAAAACCCACAAGCCCCATGGACAGGATATGTCCTCGGCGGGTTTTTCGCACTCCTGAAAGAGGGGCTGATCGATTGTCTGCCGCACGGCGTGGCGGTTGTTGTTAAGAGCAATATCCCGATGGAGGCAGGAATAGGTTCTTCCGCAGCGATCGGCGTTGCAACGCTCACAGCGATTAACCATCTGCATGAACTCAATCTAAGCGCGCTCGACATCGCTCGAATCGGGGGGATTGTCGAGAACCGTATCGTTGGCGTGCCGTGTGAAGCCGTGGATGCAATCACTGTTGCCGCCGGACAGAAGGATACCCCACTTTCCATCCGCAGTCAACCGAATCAGATACTTGAAACTGTTCCCCTCCCCCTGAATACGATATTAATCGGCATCCACAGCAGAGCGCAACGGACCCTAACTAGTTCAGCCTATGTTGATGCACGTACCGCGGCGTTTATGGGATTGACAATTCTCCAGAAGACCCTCGATCTGGAGGAACTACGCGATAACTATCTATGCCGGTTGTCCGTTAAGGACTTCCGTCAAAAGTGCTGGAAGGTCTTGCCGGCACGGATGAAGGGGGCAGATTTCCTTGACCGATACGGCGAGACGGTTGATCCCCTCATAAAGGTGGAGCCTCAAAAGGTGTACGGTGTGCGCAGCCGCGTCGAACATTCGATTTTTACGAACATGCCCGTGTACAACGCTTTATTGAACACTTCAAAGAGGCGAGCACCAACCCGCAGCACCTTCATCACCATCTCACAGAGGCAGGAAAACTGATGTACGCATCGGATTGGAGCAATCGTTTCCGTGCCGGGCTAGGCTTACCCGAAGTTGAGCAGATTGTTCGGTCTATTCGGACGGTCGGAGTCCGCGGCGGTCTCTACGGAGCGAAAATTACTAGCAGCGGCAGCACGGTCGCAGTTCTCTGCCACGGCGATGTCTCTAACGCCATGATCCAGATTCTTTCTGCCTATAAATTGGCGTGGGGGCTTGATGCGGAGGTGTTCGCCGGCTCATCGCCGGGCGCGTTTGAGTTTGGACACGTAATCTTACGACTCAGCAAGGAGTAGGAGAGTTTTTACTATTGCAAGGTTCATTGAATGCAGTAGATACGACTTTTCTGGTATCGGCATTTTCAACGCAAAGACGCTAATCCCGCTCGTTCCGATTTATCGGAATCCCGAATATCGGGACGAGGACTCCGATCCGAATCGGAGGAAGCAAGGACGCAAAGAATTTAAAAAACTTTGTGCCATTGTGTTAAAAATAGGTGCTTTTGCTGGGGCTTTAGGGGACAACTTGAGTGATATTATTGACGCGCCCACAACGGAAGGGGTTAAGTATGCGGGTTCAAAACTGAAACTCCTGCCTCACATATTGCAACTGGCAAAGAGGACCGATGCCAAGACCGTCCTAGATGGTTTTTCTGGAACGACGCGGGTGTCCCAAGCGTTTGCTAAAGCAGGCTACCAAGTATTGTGCAACGACATCGCTGCATGGTCTGAGGTGTTCGGGGTATGTTATCTGCTCAATCGCAAAAGCAAAACGGATTACGTTGAACTGATTGAATACCTCAATGAATTGCCTCCCAAAGATGGATGGTTCACAGCGCACTATGGAGGGAATCCGTCGTCAGCACGGACAGATGGACTCAAGAAACCGTGGCAGACCCGTAACACGCGGAAATTAGATGCGATACGGGAGGAGATCGAGCAGCTTCCCCTGACGAAAGTTGAAAGGGCGGTTGCACTCACAAGCCTCATCCTCGCGCTTGATCGGGTTGATAGCACTCTTGGGCATTTTGCTTCATATCTCAAGCAGTGGTCGCCTCGATCTTTTAATGAGTTGACTCTTGAAGTGCCAAATCTCTTTTGCACCGAGGAACAGCACGAAGTGTCGCGTCAGGACATCTTTGAATTGGTAAACGATAGAACTGTTGATCTGGCATACTACGATCCGCCTTACGGGTCTAATAATGAGAAGATGCCTCCCTCCAGAGTCAGGTACGCCTCATATTACCACCTCTGGTCGACAGTATGCCTTAACGATAAACCGGAGTTGTTCGGTAAGGCACTGCGGCGAAAGGATACATCGGACACTTTGGCTTCGTCTGTGTTTGAGGAGTTCCGAAGAAATGGTTGCACAGGACGGTTCATCGCGGTTGAGGCTATTGAGCGGTTGATTCGGAACACGCGCGCTCGATGGATTATTCTCTCTTACAGCTCGACGGGACGCGCAACCGCCGGCGAACTCAATGAAATTCTTCGGGATAACGGTTCTCTCGTTGAAGTCGTTGAAATAGATTATAAGCGGAACGTGATGGCGGGGATGAAATGGACCCACGATTGGGTGCGGAATGCCGATCTGCCGAATCGAGAATTCTTGTTTCTAATCGAAAAAGGCACTGAAGGTTCATGTAAAAAGAAGGTGCAAAGTATTAAAGCATCCGCGAATTAGCGCAAATAAAAAAAGAAAGATTAAAGACGGGCAACCACGCGGGTTGCCCCTACAGCCTAAAACCTGAAATGTTCGGGCGAGGAGCCTAGACCCCCGATAAATCAGGATGTAAGTTGAAAACTCTCGGAACGGAGCACCTACGATTGCTGTTGCACGATTTTTTAATGAGCGACACTGAAAATCACGGAGGTATATGAATGTCCCAACAACCTATGCGTGGTATGTTTCCAGTCCTGATTACGCCCTTTGATGAGCAGGACCGTATTGATGAAGATGGCTTGAGGAGCGTCGTCGAGTACAATATCAACGCCGGCGTCCACGGCGTAGTGATAGCGTTCGCCACAGAGATTATGAAGCTCACTGAGGCGGAACGGTTGCAGATTGCCAAAGTGGTGGTTGATCAGACGCGCGGCAGGGTGCCGGTCGTGGTGAACACCGGTGCGGTCTCAACCGCTGCAACCGTGCAAATATAGCCAGCAGACCGAAGACCTCGGGGTAACATCAGTGATGTGCACCCCTCCTGCGGCGGATGTGCCGGTGGACGAGAAAAAAGCGTACTTCAGGGCGATATCAGACGCCGTCAGTGTCCCGATCTTCGTTCAGGAAGCCGGTACGTCGCTTGGTGGGGCGTTGCTGCGACAGATTGCTGAGGAGAGCGAACAGGTGCGCTATGCCAAAGTCGAGAATGCACCGCCAGCGCAGAAGGTCTACGAGGCGGTTCAGCATGGCGGCGATTTGGTCACAGTCTTTGGTGGTGCGAGTGGAACTTACCTTATAGAGGAACTACGTCGTGGTTCGCAAGGCACCATGCCTTGGCCCAGCCATCCGCACGCCTTTGTCCAAGTTTGGGACCACTGGCAGTCCGGTGACGAAATCGCAGCCCGCGAGGTCTGGGAACGGGAGATTACCCCGATTCTCCGTGTGGGAGGACTTGTCCACAAGGAGATTCTCTACCGCAAAGGTATCATTAAATCCCCGCGTTGGCGTTCTCCGGGACCTGCTCCACTCGATGATATGGGTCAACGGGAATTGGATGAGGTCTGTGAGCGGTTAGGGATTGGCTGATATGCTTTGGCGCGCACTTTTTCCGTGAGACACCATCATGCCACCATTGAACATTGACATTTGGGAAAAGTTGAAATATAATATTAACATAAGTCCTAATCTATCAAGATGTTTGATGTGTCTGCTGTTGTTATCGGTGCCCATGTTGGTGAGGTACTATTGAAATGGAGATTTTAAGATGGAGATGCTTGATGTTCGCGGTTTACCCGATGATCAGATTGAATTTATACAACAACTAGTCGAGTTTATGCGCCTGAAGCATCAAAAACCGCTCATGCAGCCTAAAGACGAAACGGAAACTATTCATCTACGCAGTTGGCCGTTAGGTGTGAAGGGAGAGATCTCACGGGAGGAGGTCTATGACTATCTCGACAAGTGAGAGGATAGGACTGGTTGACACCAACATTCTCGTTTATCGTGCCGATCAGGATTCTGCATTTCACTTGCCGTCGATCAATCTCATCAATCGCGGACTCAGAGGTGATATCTCACTTTGTCTGGCACCTCAAAATTTGACCGAGTTCTATGCGGTAATGACCAATCCTAAGCGCGTCACAGATCCAATTACCCCCGTGGCTGCTCGTGTGGAAATCGAAAGGTATCTCCAATCCCAAAACATACGCAAAATCTATCAGACCGCAGACCTAATGCCCAAATTACTGGAACTCATCAATAAATATCCGCCGACACGTCAGCAAATTTTTGATCTACAGTTGATCGCAACAATGCTAGTGAACGATATCACACGCATCTACACCTTCAACGCGAAACATTTTCAACCGTATCAAGAAATTGAAGTTATTGTTCCCGAATAACCTGAGTTGTTATCTTGATAAGAAAGGGATTCATCTCGCTGGTGCCAATGAAAAACAATACGTAATGCGTCATGTGTAAGAAAGGTCGTCTCAATTCCTTACGCATCACGTTTCACATATTCTATAAACATACCGTTTCGCTACAACGGAAGTAACCATCAACTCCGATCCTCTGTAAAAAAAGCGAACAATGTCAGTGAAAATTACCGAAGCAGATCTGAAAGCTGCCCTGCCCGATGTCACCACCACGATGCGTTTTTCGGGACTCCACGTCCCCGTTGACGTGTATCGGGACAAGTGGGGCATCCCTCACATCAAGGCTGAGAACGAAAACGACCTGTTTTTTGCACAAGGTTTTGTTACCGCGCAGGAACGACTGTGGCACATGGATTCTGATCGGCATCGTGCACTCGGCAGATGGGCGGAGTTCGCTGGGAGTAGTGGTGTCCCTCAAGACCGGCTATTGCGAGCGGCGGGAATGGGTCGCACCGCGAAACTCGACTACGAACTCGCCAGTCCTGAAGCCAAGGTTATGATTGACGCCTACACCGCTGGTGTGAACGCCTACCTCGACACAGTCCAAACCCTGCCTATTGAGTACACGATCCTTGACCAAGCCCCCGAACGATGGGAGAATTGGCACTGTCTCGCCGTCTACAAGATCCGCAATACCCTTTTGGGAACGTTTGAACCGAAACTCTACCGGACGCGCTTGGTAAAGGCACTCGGTCCCGAAAGACTCGCTGAACTGATGAAGGGATACCCGAATGGTCACCTGCTCACAGTACCGCCGGGCGAAGTTTACGAAGGTCCACCGCTTGAGGGGCTTGATGAACTGAGCGCGGCGGCTGAGGCGGCAAATTGGCTTGATGAGGTAGATGCGGGATCAAATGGCTGGTCGATCTCCGGCGAGTTGACCGAATCGGGACTGCCACTGGTGGGCGGCGACTCGCATCGCGCCCTTGACACACCGAGCGTTTACTACCAAGTTCACCTATCCTGTCCCGAATTCACGGTGATTGGTCACGCTGTACCGGGGATGCCGGGCGCGCTCCATTTCTGCCACAACGAATATGTGGCGTGGGGGATGACCCATGGTGGAGCGGATACGCAGGACCTCTTCATCGAACGTTTCCGTGAGGGGGCAAATTGCCGTGAGTATCTGTTCAAGGACGAATGGCACCCCGCCGAGGTGCTTAACGAAACAATCGAGGTGCGTGGTGCTGACGCAGTACCGCTTGAGGTGACAATTACCCACCACGGTCCCGTTGTCGCGGGAACCCTGCGTCAGGAATAGGTGTGGCAATTAGTGATCCGGGGCTAATTGCGGCTCCGAGTGGGTTGATGCCGCCCGCGACTGCCATGCAATCGAAGTCCGTGGATGAATTGCACCAAGCGTTCCGCAACTGGACAGATCGTGTAATAACTACGCTGTCGCCGATGTGCACGGAAATTTCGGCTACCTACACGAGGGCAAAATCCCGATTCGACCCGAATCGAACGGTTGGCGCGCGGTGCCGGGCTGGACGGGCGAATATGAGTGGAACGGCTACATTCCCCACGACGAGCTACCCCAAGCCATCAACCCCGACACCGGTTACGCAGTTACCTGCAACCAGCGTGTCGCCGGTCACGACTACCCCTACTATGTGGGCTTGTCTTTCACACCAGAGTACCGTGCCCGACGCGTTCAAACACAGATCCTTTCGCTTGAACCGGGGACGGCGACCGTCGACGATATGGCGCGTATTCATGCTGAACGGATTTCAAATCCGGCGCGTATCTTCACAGAAGCGTTGGTCCGCGCTACACCGCTTGATGAAGATTCGGCGGAAGCGTTGGGGCTGCTGCGGGCGTGGGACTATAGCATGGATCGCAATCAAGCCCAACCCTTGATTTACTCTAAGACCAAGACGTATGTGGTCCGCTTCCTGCTCGATCACCTGATGGGAGATATGGCAGAGGAAGTATTTTCAGGTGTTGCGGGGGGCGATGCCCATGCCCGTCAGATTGTGATAAGAATGAACCAGGAGCTTGAGAGTGGTGACGATTCGTTGCTGCCCTCCGGGCACGATTGGTCGGAGGTGTTGGCTTCCGCACTCCGGTCTGCTGTCGCGGACCTTAGGGCGCAGCTTGGTGATGATATGTCGCAGTGGGAGTGGGGACAGCTCCATCATACACACCCACAGCACCCGCTTTCGTCCGTGTTTCCGGAACTTGCCGAACTGTTGAACCCTCCGTCGGTATCAGCACACGGTGATGGCGATACACCGCTCGCCGGGAGTTACGCCCTCCACAACGAATTTATTGCCACAGGTATGTCTGTCAACCGTTACATCCACGATCCGTCAGACTGGACTAATTCACGGTGGATTGTGCCGCTGGGCGCATCGGGTCATCCCGGTAGTCCGCACTACGCAGATCAGGCAGAGATGTGGGCAAATGTTGAGTACATTCCACAACTTTGGGACTGGAACCAGATTTTGGCTGAAGCGGAATCGCAGCAACGAATTGAACCGGCAGAATCAGGGTAGGTTCTCAATGACTGTAAAGGGATCGATTTTCCCTGTTCTTTTTCCACCAACAGCAAAGAAGAAAGGAAGGATGGAAGATATGGAAGGAAGTAAACGCTAACCGCGTCTTAACTTCCGACCCCGTCCGCAAAACAGTTATGAATAGCCGAAACACTATACTTTCTAAATATGTTGATGCCAAACAAAATCGGCGCAGGAAAGCCAAGCAGCGCCAAAAGCGGTTGAACATGGGCTTGCCGGCTGCTGTTCCGTTGAAGCACGTTTCACTCGATCAAGAGGAGAAGAAGGAGATTGCTTCGCGGAAGCTGATCGGTACGGCGAGGCGCAAGCAGACTTTTTGTCACCCGACACTTTGGTTGGCCCATCTCGCTCGGTCTCCACCTCTTTGTGGCGTTTTTACTTACCATATACGCCATTCGAGAGTATATACCCGAACCGGAGCCTGTCTCTCTGGCTTTCATGGAGCCTATCCGTGAAGCCCGGCGGATAAGGACTGGTCGAGTTATAAAAAGCGTGAGACCTCCCGATTCAGTAGAAGTTCGACAGCTACTTACACCGAAGCAAGGACCAACTGACTGTAGAACTTCCAACGGAGCAGGCACGCTTTTACACACCGACTGACGATCTGATTGATGCAGGGGATGCCCCAACCGGTAGTGGCATTTCAATACCAAAAGGGTTTGGCAACATTCAGGTGGAGCAGAAACGCGCGGAAATCGCCACGGAAGCGCCGGGGGTCAAAATTGAGCGCGAGGCATCGATTGCCCCGCAAGATAGTGACAGAGATATTCCGGATCCAGGTCTCGATGACCGTAATATTGACGCGGAGGTATCGGTCGAGGTCGATCAGAACGCGCGCGTGCTCAGAAAGGTTGACCCAAAGTATCCTGAAGCCGGGCGTCGCGCTCAGCGGGAAGGTGTTGTTGATCTTGAGTGTACTGTTGGCGTGGACGGAAGAGCAGCGGACATTAAGGTGATAAAGGAAGAACCGAAAGGGTTCAGCTTCGGCGAGGCGGCGATTGAAGCGCTGAAAAGATGGCGCTTCACTCCCGCCAAGAAAGGTGGCGAATCAGTACCCCAGCGGGTAAAACTTCCAATTCGGTTTACCTTGGATGATGACTAGTCCACCATAGCAATACGGGGAGCGTTGCCCATCTCTACGTTGGGTTTCCGTTTCGACTCATGTTAAGAAATCGCGCAACAGATTTAGTACATTAGTTCATTAATGTACTAACTTGTGTTTTGCACTTTCTTTTGACATGAACCTCTGTTTCAATAGGTTGCCCTACCGCCGCTCACATCGTAACACTGCCCGGTCACAAAACTGGCATCGTCCGACGCTAGGAAATGCACCACCGCTGCGACCTCCTCCGGCTTTCCAACCCGTCCCAGCGGAATCTTGCTGACCATATAATCGATAGTGGACTGCGACACCTGTTCCAGAATCGGGGTTGCAATTACCGCCGGTGAAACACAGTTGACGTTGATACTATACTCAGTGACCTCCTTCGCCAAGGCTTTCGTCAGACAAATGACGCCTGCTTTGGAAGCCGAATACGGGATGAGCGTTGGATTGCCCTCCTTGCCCGCGATCGAAGCGACACTGACAATCTTGCCGTACTGCCTCTCGATCATATGGTCAATCACCGCTTTGCAGCAGAGGAATACGCCCTTCAGATTCACATCCAGAACCGCATCCCAATCCGATTCATCCAGATCTGGCAACGTCGCCGTTTTCCCTGCAATTCCCGCGTTGTTCACCAGAATATCGATCTGGTTAAAGGTCTCCAACGTTTGCTGCGCCATCCGTTGTACCTGATCCAACTTTGAGACATCTACCTCAATGACGAGGGACTTGCATCCCAACGCCTCAATCTCTTTTGCTACTGTCTCACCGACTTTACGGTTCAGTTCAGCTACAACGACCGTTGCGCCGGCACCTGCTAGCCGCAGCGCAATCGCCCGTCCGATCCCCTGCCCCGCGCCTGTCACAATTGCAACCTTATCGGTTAAATCCATATATAACCCCTCCTTGTATATGTATTCTTTCTATATAACCTTTGGTGCTCGTTGGTTAAGATGTTATTTTCACGTTTCCACGCATCACGTTTCACTCGTTAGGTTTGGGCGTATCGCACCCAACCTGCGAAATAGTGTGGTGCCCACCTGCGTGCTAGATAAAAGGTCTTGGCAGAATAGCGACCGTGTGGAGGAAGCACTTCGGCGTCGATCCACGCCTCCGCTCCGGTCAAAGTCGGAAACTCGATTAGCCATGCCCGATGCCACGCATCTTGTGCCCCCATCAATTTGAACGCTTCTAAGCGCATCAGTCCGTGTTCACGGGCGACCGACTGCATTAGCTCTATATGTTCTGTGTCACCTCCGCTCCTCCGGTGTCGCCTCGCTCGCCTCTGGTCTCCAACGCCCGAAAAGCAGGGCAACCACGCTCCCCCTGTCCACGTGAAGCACTGGGACGTGATGCGGATCTGTCGCGTCCGGCACCACCGGTTCGGGGGTACGGATAGCCCATTGGGAAAAGTGATCGCGCCCCCAATGCCGTGCGGTGTAGTATTCGTAGTAGCCGTAACGACCGTAGGGCGGTGCCATTTCGGCATCGATCCACGCCTCTGCACCCGTCAGTGTGGGAAACTCGATAACCCAGAAACGTTCCCACGACTGCTGCGGCGCCATTAGCTTAAAGCCTTCTAGTCGCATCAGTCCGTGTTCACGGGCGACCGATAACATGAGATCGACATGCTCCTGCTGATACGCATCTCGCGCCTCCGGGGTGAGACCGTGCCACGTGGGCAGTCGACCGCCCTTGTAGAGTATAATCACACTATCTTTGCTGACTTCTGGTGTCGTTGCCACAGGAGTATTCTCCTTTCGGATAGGGAGGTCTTTTTGAGGTTTATCGAGCGGTGAGCCATTCGATGAGGAGGTCAACTTGCCGTAAACCTTTATCGTCCAACGCTTGAGGCTCGAAGGCTTCGTGAGTGATGCCCGCCACGGTGATAATCCCCGTCATTGTGGGATGCGGTGCTGCGACGCGGATAGCGGCACCCTGTGAAGCAATCTCTTTCTTTTGTAGAAGCCCAAGCACAGGAAGTACTTTTGCTATCGGGATGCGGACGACCCTAATGTTGGTGTTTTTCCCAAAGACCCGCCACGCTGCCTCTCGTGTTACAGGACCCTTATCGAGCCCATTCCTTGTACCCACTAGGGCAAAGTCCACCCCCGTCTTTTCTTTTATCAGTTGTGAAAGCCCCTGTTCGATTTGCGTCGCTTCGAGCGGTTCGTTGAGATTGGCGATTGGTTCATTGGTTTCATCGACGGCGGGCGGTCGAAGGCTGAGGTGGCGCATCGGTCCATCTTTGGGTTTAATCCAAGCGAAACGCCCTCGTTGGAGACGACGACCTGTCTGCGTGAGGTCTATGTACTGTCCCACAACGCCCATCGATTTGATGAGGTGGATTTCGACGTAGCCGTTGGGGGTCATGGGTCCAGGGTAATTCACCGCCCCAGTGTTGATGCAAACAGCGTCTCCTCCCTCAAACCCCTCCGGCACCCACGCCTCAAATCTGTGGGTCGTGGCAGAGAGCACCAGATCGGTCTTGTTCAGCAGGAGTTGGCGTCGTTCTGGAGAAAGCACCATGTCCCACGACCCCGTCCGCGAATGTGCCGCCACGATAATCAGGTCCTTTCCCCTTTTTTCGATGTCTTTGAGGGTTGCCATCATCCACGCTTGGCTGCTCTCCGGGAACGCGACTGCTGCGTCCATTGGCTGATCCGAGAAGTGCATCTGAATCAGGTGAACGGTATAATCGCCGACCGAAATTTGGGCGTAGTATTCTGATTTGTTCGGACGGATGACGCTTGCGTGGGCTTCCAACGCTACCAGATCGAGTATCGGTGCGCCCTCGCCGTAGTCCGATTGTCTGTGGGTCGGACTGTAGTATTCGTTCTCGCCATCCGCAACGTTGGGGTAGAAGTGCTCACGCCACCAAGGATCGGATTGTAGCCATGGGATAAAGGTGTTTTCCCACCGGTATTTGACGTGATCGCCCAATCCTATCATAAAGGCGGGATCTCCTTCCTTAATCCAAGCGGTCATTCGGGCAAACTCCACGCTACTAAGCGGAGAGTCCCCCTTGTTATCGCTCATAATGGCGAAGTGGAGATCTGCCAGCCGGTCTAGATCGCCAACGGATTCGACACCCGGTAGTCCTTCTTCAGCGATACCCGTGGATTGCAAAATCACTCCTGAAATCAGCAGGGTAAGTGCAAGAAGCTGTCTCAGCTTTCTCTTCACCGTTGTCTATCCTCTTTGTATAAGCCCCGTCGGTCGGACACCAATAAACCGATGATTTTCACGTTTCACGTTCTTACTGTTTTGCACTTTTTTGTATGAGCCGATTACGCTTCCCAAATGGGCCAATCAGTTTCTTGGAGTCGCTGCCAGAGGCTATCGAACCTTTCGCTCCCATCGTCCTCCCATTCGTCCAACCTGACGCCGGGCGCGAAGGATTCGTCTACCCCCTGCTTCATCAGCCGTTCCGCTTGCTGGAGGCTTTGGTAATAGTGTTTCAAGCCGCCGGGGAGTGTAACGACGGAGATATGTCGAAGCCATTCCGGCGCAGGCGTTTGGGAATAACGGCTGACCGCATCTTCATCCAATTCTACGCCCAGCCCCGGTCCCTCTGGAACTTTCATGAATCCCCGTTGAACCGTGTGTCCTTGCACAATCAGGTCATCTTCGTAGCTGTGGCTTGCCGTAACGCCCGGCAGGGTCGCTGTTGGCATCACCGCTCCCAGATGACAGGCGAAGGCTGCGGTTATGCCGGTGCCGACGTACTGTAACAGAATTGGGTGTTTGCAGCGGCAAAAGCCCAACTGGACGCCAACGCGCTTTTGATTGGTTCATGGCTGCACAGCGCACCATCAAAATCGCCGGCACGAAGCCCGATCCAAGGTCCCGAAGGTTGACGCGACGCGCCTTCTTGGATGACACCGACGCCGTGTAGATAGAATGGGATGCGAATCTCCTGATGCAGCCGTCGCCATCCTTCAACGTCATACGCGAAGATTGGCTCCTCCACACCTTTGACTATCGGGATCTTCTCCAATTCTCGCAGGATGGGCAGGGCTTTCTCTACGTTGGTCAATGCACCGTTAAAGTCGAACTCCACACGAAAGTCCGGCGGTGCGACCTCTTGCATTGCCTGTGATTGCTCAATGATGTCATAGAACGCTCTGGCTTTGCATTTGAGTCCACGATACCCCCGTTCAGCTGCAACCTGAACTTCGGCGGCACTATCTTCGGGTGACATGGAGGGCATCCACCAACCCATTGACACCCATTGACGAACCTGCTGCCCCATCAGCTTTCCATGTGGGCAAGCCCAGATGTTTGCCCATCAGGTCGTAGCACGCCATATCGAGGTTGAACCGCCCCTGTCCCATGAGATGATCGAACGGATTCGTGCCGATGTATGCGTCGAGGAGCTCCTGCTCGAAGGGCGGACCGGGGTTCTCTCCAAGCCCGATCAAGCCGGTATCCGTATGAAATTTATAGACCGTCGTCTGCTCGTCCAGCCCAAAATAGTAAAGTTGCTTGCGAATGCGTTCTTCGTAGGGAACCCGCAGGAGGATTGATTCAATCTCGGTGATTTTCATAAAAGGCGTCCTTTCGTCGTGAGTTGTGAACCCGCTCATGATAGCACAGATTGGACTCTCAGACAATAGAAATGTGGGAGGCGAAAAACAATACGTAATGCGTAAAAAAATGTGTCTATGGAAATCGTTCTATCAGGAGTCGCGTGATTGGGTTGGGACGACTGTAGTAGTGCTGGGTGGCTTCGTTTTTGCCCTCCCACAGACGGCGTGGAAAGATCGTGTGATTGCTGAGGTATCGGTCTGTTGTCCTGCCACAGTAGATGTGGATGGTACGCCGCTCGGAGGTGGTACGCCGGACATTTCCGGCGTGGAAGGTTGCCGCGTTGAAAAAGATCGCTGTGCCGGCGTGACCGACGAGATGCTGCGCTGTGCTGAGATCATAAGCCTCAAGCGGGAGCCACTCTGTGGACTGTCCTGTGCCGGGTAAGACGCTGAAGGTGTGCGTGGTATCGTCCACATCTGTCAGGTAAAAGACGACCGATAGATAGCGTGTATAATATGGAGGGTCGGCCTCCCCGCTCGCATCACGACTCGCATCTCGGTGCCAGCGGCATTCGGTGTCGCCGTCAGGGTTTGGTGCGCGGAGCATGACCGAATGTTCCTCCGCACAGAGGTCTTTTCCCATGATCGCGCTCATCAGCGGCAGCAACGTCGGTGGACGCATCGTCACGTCCATCTCTGGGCAGGCGAGCAGGGCATGGGCGTTCTGCCGTCGCCCCGTCTGTCCGCGGTCTAGCCACATCACCGGATTCTCGACGAGATCCCGATCTATCGCCTCGTTGATGGAACGAACCTCTTCAGCGGATAGGGCATCAGGCATGACAAGGTAACCGTTATCCTTGAAAAATTCCAACTGTTCTTTCATCAGGTCTTTCCTCGCATTGTGTTAGGGGCGTGCACGCTAATTGCGTTGAGAATTATAGTGGTGAACGGGTGGATAGTCAAGCAGAAAGGTGGAAATTTAGCTTCTTGTTTTTTGGGGGAGATGTGCTATAATTGAATAATAGTTTTGTGCTGCCAGTGGTGTAGGTTGGGTTGAACGGTTAAAATCGAATTCCTATCAAGGACAATAGAACTTCTGCTTTTCAACAACATGGTCTTATAGGATAGTCGAGTGAAACCCAATGCTCAATCCAAGCGACGATCAAGAGTTGGGTTTCACTAAATTTAAGAGATTTTAACAGAATCGAACTTTGAAATCCAAGTGGAATCCTTGGGCTTTTTCATTGATTCCGTTCAACCCAACCTACATGCTAGGGCTAATGAAGCATAATACGTAATACGTAAGAATAAACGGAACGCAGATCTGCGTTCCCTACGCATTAACCGCATTGGATCGTTGGGGTCGGGCAAGATGCCCGACCTACGGGTGTGTGGAGATTACGGCATACAGAGTATGCCTACTACTAGTAACTAGAGTTAGGACAAAGTAAAATGGCTAAATATTTCGCATCTGCTATAGATAAACCGACGCTTGAGCCTTACGAGATCTCGCATATACTGCGTGGACAGCTCCAATACTTCACGGAGGGTGCGAGTGCTCGGCAATGGGAACATAGCGGCGATCCCAATGCGTTTTTCTTCCCGCTTGAGTTGACCGCTGAACTGTACGACGAGGGGGTGTTCTACGTGACCTCTCCTTTAGACGATCAGAATCAAGCCGAAATTGAGATCACAGAGGAGCAGGAAGACTTTTTGGATTGGTTGGTCTCGAATCAGGTTGAAAAGGTAAAGGTTTCAGAAGTGTAAACGTGAAACGTGAAAACAATGGAGTAATGGCTTCGTTTTGTTGGTTCATTAATGAACTTTTGAACCAGTGAACCAAAGGGTGAAAAGGACATTCTTACCAACTCGCACCAAAGGCTCATAAACGCTTCCGTAGAAAGAAACGGGACTGAGGGAGAGATTCTAAGAACTTGTTTGAAAAGTCATTTTGGGTAAAGTTATTTGCCATGAACCCGAGTTTTTTCTTCAAAACTCGGGTTTCTTCCGTAATCCACTATTCAACCGCACATTCTCACTATATTCAGCAAACCATGTCAGGTCAATGGTAGGTGCTCCGTTCCGAGAGCTTTCGACTTGCCCTCCCGACTTATTGGGGGGGCTTGGTTTCGTAGGGGCGAGGTCCCCTCGCCCAACGGGTTGGGAGACCCAACCCCTACCCTGCGATACGGCTCGCTGTCGATTGACAAATTCACAGCACCGTGGGATCATTTCTTGCTTTTTAAAACAGGTTCTGAAGGAGTTTCAGATGGATGTAACCACAAACAGTATAGATCAGATACAAGTGATTCCCACCGGCGGTGCGCTTGGGGCAGAGATTCAGGGAATAGACCTAACGCATCCGCTGCCCGAAGACACAGTCCAGTACATCCATCAGGCGTTGCTAGCGCACTGTGTCCTCCTCTTCCGTGGGCAACAGATTAGCGATGAGGATCAGGTCCGTTTCACCAACTACTTCGGTCAAGCGGTCGAACATGTCCGCAAGCAGCTGCCTCGTCCTGTCAAAGAGATCTTCTTTGTTTCCAATGTCGAGAAGGACGGTCAACCCATCGGTGCACTCGGCAACGACGAGATCCCCTTCCACTCCGATCTGTCGTACCTGCGGCAGCCCGGAACGCTCTCCATCATCTACGCGGTCGAACTTCCTTCCACCGGCGGTGCCACGCGGTGGTGTAACTGCTACGCCGCCTATGAGGGACTTGACCCCGACCTCAAAGGGCGGCTCAAGGGGCTGTGTGCCGTCCATCGTCACCATGTCGAAAGCCAGAATCCACCGGAGTTGATTGACCATCCGGTTATCTGCACCCACCCTGAAACCGGGCGTAAAGCGTTATACGTCGGTCCCCACCTGACTCGGCACATCGTGGGCGTTGGCGAATCGGAAAGCCGCGAGCTGCTTGGTACACTCTTCGATCACATGTCGCAGGAGCGTTTTGTTTGGACACACTATTGGGAGGTTGGCGATCTGGTTGTATGGGACAACAGATGCACCATGCACCGTCGAGAGGGCTTCCCATCAACTGAGCGACGGATTATGAAAAGAACACAGATTTTTAACGATGCTATACCGTATGAGTAATTTGGTCGCCTATGCTAAGAAATTGTGCAACAGAAACCGTAGGGGCGGGGTCACCCCGCCCGTAGTACGGGTTGGGTAACCCAACCCCTACAAAAACTCGGTTTCTCTTCGCATCTTAACACTTTCTTTTTTGATAAGCCATCCAAATTAAGGTGGTCGTGGTATCGCGAACAAAGGCAAGGAGGGAACAGTGAAAAACGATCGATTTCTGCTCTCTGCTCTGGTTGACTTTCCGGATGACTGCAATCGCTTGGCCTTTACGCCCGATCTAGTGGAGAACTTAATAGATCGCCTCCACTGGATGGGCGTACGTCGGGTTTACTGGAACTACTACCAGAAAGGGATGTGGGAAAATTTCGCAGACAACTCGGAAGCAACTCGACAAACTCTTTCAAATCTGGGTGAGCCCCTAGTGCTGGGGTGCCGCCTAGCGCATGAACGCGGGATGGAATTCTACGCTACCATCAAGCCGTACGAGACCGGTGCGAGTCATGCCAATCCCAAGGATAGTCCTGAGATGATGGCTGTACCCGGCTTGCCATGTATTGGCGGAGCCTACAAGGTCGATCCGTGGGTCATGGCGCGTCCGGAAATGCGGGTGCGGGGACGTAGCGCGGACATACCGATGGGTCTGGAGAAAATCCCGATTGAGCGGATCCAACTCCGCCAGAAGGACATGTCGCCGGTCCGTATCGCACCAGAAAATATCGAAATTTGGACCAGTGACGATAACAACGCCTACCGGAAGCAGGATCTGACCTTTGCCTTGACCGAATCTGTTGAAACCTGTCCCCGCGATGTCTTTGAACTTGATGGCGACCGAGTCACGTCGAAGGGGGAGTCGGTGCGAGCCCTCAACTTGAGTGGACTGAATCTACTTGATCCGTTTATTGCAATCACTACCAATTTTGAGGACAGAAATGGCAGCTTTCGCAACACCGCAATAGAGATGGTGCGGGCATTTGGTCCCGGCGACCGGTCGATGCCAATTGTCGTTGCCAGTCACAAGGCGGTTTGGAGACCCCTGCGAGACTTCCGCACCGGCGACCTTGAGTACGATGCGGGGATCGGCGATGCCATTGTCTGCCTTGATGTTACCAACCAGCCTCCCGTTTCACCAGATGCGTTTGCGGGAGAATCCAACGACGGGGTCATCGCCATTGTGAGGGGACGCAATGAGTATTTTTCCGGCTCCCTTTGTGAGGCGTATCCAGAGGTGCAAACCTACTGGCTAAGTTGGGTTGGTGCGTGCATCGCGGCGGGCGTTGACGGATTGGACGTTCGCATCTCCTGTCATAGCAGTTGGGACAAACACGCCGGAGATATACGGTTTCAATGAACCTGTGGTGGCAGAGTACCAGCGTCGATACGGCGTCAATCCAGACGTGGAACCGTACGACCCGGCGTTGCTTGGGGCGCTGCGCGGCGAATTCTTCGATCAGTTTCTGCGAGCGACAAAGCGGCGTTTGTCGGCGGCTGGCAAACGGCTGCAGGTTCATGCGGAGATGGAGTCATTTCGGTCCGACGCCTGTCAGTCTCGCCGGCGTACTCGCCCCGGCAACATCGCGTTTAACTGGCGAAGTTGGCTGCACACCGGGCTAGCGGACGAAGCCACGCTGTTTGGGCGCGGCTGGATGCCCGAACAAATGCTCAACGACGCACTCACATTGGAGATGCTGCGGGAAGCCGCCGATGCCGATGTACCTGTACATTTAAGCAAGGCGGTTGGACATAGCCGCGACGGAGGGGTGCACGCCGATTTGCTGGAGTATATCTACCGTTTCGGTGGACTCGCCGGATACACGCTTTATGAGACCGCAGCGATGTATGATGGGCAGCATCTTGGGTCTGACGGTCAGTTGCAGTTCCACGCAGGATTGTGCGAGGGGATACGCGACCGTGTGAGAAGTTTGGGGCTGATTGGTTAAAAAAGTCCTAACCGTTCAGGGGGTATCGATCGTATTGCCCTGAACAGCTACAAGAAATTGATATGAATGGAGCGTAAATGATGACTGACCAAAAATTGGCAAGCTACCGTGCTGCGATTATCGGGTGTGGCAGCATCGCTAACAGCCACGCCTCCGGTTATAATCGGGTCGAAACGACCACGCTGGTGGCGTGTGCGGATACAGTGGAAGCGAAGGCACAGAGCTTTGCGAGCGAAACGGCATTCCTAACCACTATGCCGATTACCGGCAGATGCTTGAGGTTGAGCAGCCTGACATTGTGAGTGTGTGCACATGGCACCCCCTGCACGCAGAAATGACAATCGCCGCCGCCGCACGTCAACCCAAGGCTATCCTTTGCGAGAAACCGATGGCGACTAACTTGGGCGAGGCTGAAGCGATGATGATTGCTTGTCAGCGCAATCAGGTTAAGTTGGCGATCGGTTTCCAGCGTCGATTCCTTGGGGCATGGACGAAAGCGAAAGAGTTGATTGCAGCAGGAGCGATTGGCGAGCCTCAACGGGTATCGCACACCCGTCTGACCGGATTGCTCAACGCCACCAGCCACGGGCTAGACTGTATGCGTTACATTCTGGGCGATCCCAAAGTGGAGTGGGTCTTTGGTCAGGTGGAGCGAAAGACTGACCGGTACGAGCGCAGTGTGCGTAGTGAGGACTGCGTGGCGGGATTTTTACTGTTCGAGGGCGGTGTGCAGGGGACCTTCCAGACAGACCTCGTCTCCGAAGATAAATGGGCGTTTGTGCAGGGAACGGACGGGATGATCGATTTCGACGACGGTTGGATACGCTACTTCAACGCTGAAACGGGTGGCTGGCGGGACGTAGAGGTTGAAGGGGTGGATGCGGCTGCCGCTCAGGTGCAGGAATTAGTTGATTGGATTGAGGAACGTTGTGTCCACCGCAACCAAGCGGAAAACGGCTTGTGGACGATGCACATGATGATGGGTGCCTACGAATCCGCCCGCTGCCACGAAGTAGTCCACCTACCGATGCAAACCCGTGCGAACCCGCTCGATCTGATGGTAGAAGCGGGGCAGCTGCCGGTGCAACGCCCCGGACGCTACGATATTCGTAGCGTCCTGCTTGAAGGGGAAGCCATGCATTTGGAGGACTCCTGAATAACGAGGGGAGCGGGGAAGCCTCATGAAACGTGAAACGTGAGACAGATGATGGGAGGTGTTTTATGCGGATTATGCGGTCTTGGATGTTTGTGCCGGGGACATCAGCAGCGGATGATTGATAAAGCCTACGGGTTGAAACTCGATGTGGCGATGTTCGATCTGGAGGATGGGGTGCCGCCCGGCGAAAAGAATACCGCCCGCGCCATGATGGGGGAAACGCTTGACCGTCCATCGGGTGGGATGCTCCGTTTCGTCCGCATTCACCCCGCTGGGACCAAAGAGATGGAGGTGGACCTCCCTGCGGTGATTCGTCCCGGTCTGGATGGGCTCACACTGACGAAGGTGAATTGCCCCGAAGATGTGTTGCGGATCAGCGCGGTTCTGGATGAGCGGGAGGAACAAGCGGGACTTCAACGCGGAAGTGTTCGGTTGCTCGCCACGATTGAGAGCGCGCGTGGACTGATTCAGGTGCCTGCGATTGCGGCATCTAGTCCTAGACTTGTTGGCTTGATGTTCGGTGCGGAGGATTTCGCGATGGATTTGGGGCTATTTAACGTCCGCCAAGGGGAGGCGGGGGATTTCCTGTACGCCCGATCCGCGCTCGTTGTCGCTGCTGTTAGTGAAGGTTTGCAGGCGATAGATCGGGTCTATCTTGATATTCGGAGCCCGACAGGCTTGGAGAGGGACACCCGTCTCGCCCGTGACCTTGGGTTTACCGGCAAAGCCTTGATCCATCCCGCCCAGATTGAGGTTGTCGAAAGGGGCTTCCGTCCAACCGACGCGGAGGTTGAGTATGCCCGGCGTGTGGTGGCAGCCTTTGAGGCGGCGGAAGCGGAGGGCGCGGGTGCGGTTGCTGTCGATGGTCAAATGGTTGATCTGCCGGTGGTGGAGCGCGCCCGGCGGGTGATGCAACTTGTATCTGAAGATGTTTAGGATAAGTGACGGCAATGGTAATAACATAAGTTGGTAGGGCGTATATCGCTGCGCTGAGACTGTGTTGGTTCATTGACATCCACATTGCGCTCCTCTGGAGCGCGGGGATTAGACGCATCGTTGTTCTATAGACATATCGCTCCTCTGGAGCGAAAAACGAGCAAACTGTCAAAACGACATCGTGATCTTAATCCCGCATCTGCGAAATTCCCAACCTTTTCATCTTGTAGAGGAGAGTGGAGTAGGGGATGCCGAGTTTTTTTGCGACTCTGCGGCGAATCCATCGGTTTTCTTCAAGTGTCCGCAAGATCCGTTCGTACTCGTTCTCGTCCGCTGATTTGTCAGATTGCGACGGTAGCTCTTCCGATGGGTATTCTTGAATATCGAGATGTTCGGCTCCTATCAGCGAAACCTCTGCCGGACAAAGAACAGCGGTGCGCTCAACGATATTCCGCAGCTCGCGCACATTTCCGGGGTATTGATAATCTAGAAGAACTGATTTTGCCCCCTCTGAAAAGCCATCGAAGCTGCGCCCACTTCTGGTAATGTATGCCTCCAGAAAATAGTCAACCAACGGTAGGATATCTTCGAGCCTTTCCCGAAGCGGTGTTAAGTGGATAGGAAAGACGTTGAGGCGATAGTATAGATCGTCGCGGAACTGCCCAGATTCGACAAGTTGTGGGGGATCTTTGTTGAATGCACTAATAATACGTACTTGAACGGAGATCTCCTGAGTGCCTCCGATACGCCTCAGCGTCCGAATATCGAGGACCCGCAGTAGCTTCGCTTGTATTTGGAGTGGGAGGTCAGCAATTTCATCCAGCAGAAGCGTACCATTATTTGCCAGTTCAAAGTAGCCGGGTTTATCCGTCGTCGCATCGGTGAACGCTCCTTTAACGTGACCAAAGAGTTCACTTTCGACCAATGACTTCGGCAACGCCGAACAGTTGACAGCAACAAACGGACGCTCTTCCGAAGACCCTTGAAAGTGAATTTCCTGTGCTACCACCTCTTTGCCTGTGCCGGTTTCGCCGGTGAGGAGAATCGTATCAACATTTGCTTCGACTGCTTGCCGAATACGTTCTCGCACCTGTTGTGTGGCTGGACTGTTTCCCACAAGGTATTGATTCTGTATCCGCGGATTGCGGTGGCTTGTACGTCGGTTATCCATTTGCCCCCCTTTCTCCGGTAAACGCAGCTTGGCTTCCTTATCCTCAAAAGAGTTGCTGTAGTGCATGGTCGACTACTTTTGAAATTCTCCGCTGTTCCCATTTCCTTTCTATGCTTAAGAGGATACAAGAGGACATAGACAGGATGCAAATTTGTTTTCTTCAACTCGAAACAAATAGTTCAACCTGAAGAAAATAACCCAAATGGGGAGTGTGGCACACCCTGTGTCGAGCGCTCGTTGAAGTCGACAAGGCGGTGGGATATGTTATAAAATTTATCAAAGTTCTCAGCGATGCACGGGCTTTGGTTTCCCTCTTGGAACTTGTGCGAAAAAGTTAGCAATAGTTGCTAACATTAGTAACATTTGCTTAGCAACAGTTGACTAAGAATTGCGTAAATCGCTTCAACGACTTTTTGGACATTTCGCCTTGAAAGCCTGATGCTGACTGGGTTTGGGCGATTATGTCTCTTTGGCATGACAATTGCTCCTTGAGTTTGTGGTTGAACCCTTCAACTGTAACGAAAAAAACGTGGTTTTTTAGTAGTTGATAACTTGGATGGTTATTTAGTTTTCGGTTTTCTCAGTCTGATAGGAAGTCGCGATTGGGAGATCCCTCCTACAGTAGAACTAAATGCCTCTATATAACTCAGGTTGCCATTCATAGGGTAGGAACAACTTGAGTTATAATAGTGTTTATTCGGAATCATTGTGTGATGAAAATAGGCTTTTGTTTGATGGGTCAAAAATTTTAGATTGTACAGGCTTATATCACCACACAATTAAAGGAGGTTACGCTAATGTTGTGGAATCTATTATCAAGCAGATACTTTCTCGGCGTGGTCATTATCTTTGTGTTGGCCATTGCGGGTTGTTTGTACTGGTACCAACACGAAATGCGTAAACTCCGAGAAATCGAATCGGGAAACACGCGGTTTCTTCAGGAAATAGAAACCAACAAAGCCGCTTACACTGCACGGCATACCGAACAGACAGACACCGAGATATTGGGACAAGCGGATACCCCTTTTGTGACCGATAACTTTTCCCAAACAGAAACGTTGTCTATAGATGAAGTGGATAACGTTGGTGTAATGGATGAACTCTTCCAAGAAGAAACAACTAAATCAGAAAACACTGATGCGCCCGTCTCACCTCATGGGTTCGGGCCCTATCCTGACGTGCCGAATGATTATCCTCTAGCGTTAGATCCCTCTCCAACATCCTTTTGGAAGTTTACCTATGATGATCCTAAGCAGGAATTACTTGCTCGCACACTCATTAAGTTGTGGAAGCAGGGAGTACCTGTTGCAGGCGCAACTTTTGAAAGTGGGGTAATATACCCTATCATTCGTGGCACTGTCTATGTCGAATGGAATGGAGACTTTATCAATCGCATAGCAGGTCATCCAAATGACAATCACGACGAAATCATCTCGACGCTTGAAGCTGGCAGCATCCCTGCGGGTATCACGGTTATTGATCGCGCTGAAGCAGGGATTGACCCGTACGCTTTTTTAGATTTAAGATAAGGAGGTTTTATCATGAAATGGGTGTTAGGTTGTCTTACCATTGGCTTGATATGCACCATGGGGTTTTCCGACCACCAAACGGATAGAAATCGGGATGGACATAGGTTTAGTTCTACGTGCAATAGCACATATTGTTCTGTGCTAGCTGACGATAGTATGTCACCGCTTGATAGTCATGTCCGAGGGAGAGCGAAACAGGTGGGAGAAAAACATAGTTGGCATAGTACTAGTCGTGCGCGATGTACAGACAGTTATTTTCATGGGAACTGGTATCTTGGGGCCCATGTGCCCCACATGCCAGAAGGCACTATCTGGGAACTACCTGAGGATGCCCCGGGCACGTTTCAGGGGCAGTTTAGAGAAGGCCTCCGTGTGACTGGTGAGGTTAATGAGACTCAGGATGCCTCCCAGTCCATAGACTGGTGTAGGCTATGGGGATCGATACATGGTAGTCCCCAAAGTAACTCTGGCAATCACACACACTGGGCGGATACTGAGTCGCCGTGGTGGGAAGACAATTGAGGTTTGACCATAAATCATCTACCGTGTTAGTGTATCTCTAGTCACAGGAGAGTCTATGTCCTTGATATAGTAGAGGATCCTCCTAAATCCATACAATCAGCGGTATTACCCCCTTCTTCACGGGTATGATACCGCTTTTTTGTGCTCACAAGACACCTCCCTTCGGTTGTCTATGGCGTTAGTCGGCTAAAACGGCTCAAAACCTCCGCATCTTTTTTTTCGGGATATGGTATAATCACGCAAGATCCTACATGTACTTCGTACGGCTTTTTTCAGGAACATCAGCAAATGAGAGGAGAGAGTACGATGAAAACTGTATTTGACGTGCTGCGTCACCCGTTGGTTATCGGTGCACTCGTATTAAGTATCCTCATTGTGGTTGGTGTGTATTTCGGGAGCCATTATTACTATGGCACTGTAGAGCCCATTAAGATGCCTGAACCTTTAGCACTTGCCCACACCACACCTTCAACCCAAGTATCATCGGGACTTGATTTCGGCGAACTAAATGAGCAGGTCGCATCTCCACAAACCCAATTAGAGTCAGAACTAACCCCACCAAAAGAAAAAGGCATATCTGTTGAGGAGTTCTTAGCGGAATTATCCGATGAGGAGAAACAGGCATTAACCGAAGAAGTTACTCCACCTCGTGAGTCCCTATACGGCTTAGGTCCATACCCTGAGATTCCACCTGATTATCCAGATCAGAATGCGTGGGACGACATCGAAAAACTCTACTATGACGGATATGAAAGCATTGGACATGAACTTATCGAGCGAGTGCTAATCAAACTCTGGAATCAAGGGATTAAAGTAACCGCTGCCACCTACAACGAGCAGGATGGTGTCGTTCCACTCTACAATGATACTGTCTACGTCGAATGGGAAACTGATGACGAGGGTAACAGATACCTAAGCTCGTTTTCTTGCCATGGTTCCCTAGGAGAATACGAGGAATCAGTAGAGAATGGAACACAACCGAGTTGGATAAAAGTCGTTCCTTTAGAAGGTGCAGGAATTGACCCGTATTCATTTCTTGACTTGCCTTGAGCTTGTATCGTGGGATCGCTCTGCAAGGCTCCAGTGCCACCCAAAAGAGTGGTGAGAGGCTGGCAGGTGAGCCGACACCTGACACAACCGCTCACATTGAGACCCCTGCAACGCGCATTAACCCAAAGCGTCCCAGAGATTCACCACAGCGACCAGGGCGTTCAGTACCTTTCAACGGCTTATGTTTCGACGCTCATCAGTCATGGGATTGACATTTCCTTAGCGCATCGGGGGCGGCCGTGGGACAACGGTTATGCCGAAAGGCTTATCCGAACCCTCAAGGAGGAAGAGGCCCATCTCAATGACTACGATGATATAATGGAGGCTAAACAGCGCATCGGGCGTTTTATTGTACAGGTGTATAACCAGAAACGACCTCACTCGGTGTAAGGCTACTTGACGCCGGTCGAATTTGAGCAACAATACTTGTCTTAACTTTGATGATTTGTGGCCCAAATTAGCGGTGGCACTTCAATGATGAAAACCGTATTTGACGTGATCCGTCACCCGTTGGTTATCGGTGCACTCATATTAAGTATCCTCATTGTGGTTGGTGTGTATTTCGGAAGCCATTGGTATTATGGTGATGTTGAACCTGTCGGGATACTAGAGGTCTCTGCACCTACTCCGCCCCTGCCTAGAAATCTTTCCTCCTCAGAAGTTGATTTGAGTGGTCTGCAAGGGGAATCATTGCTCACGCAACCGGAATCGACGGGTACAGTTTCGTCTCCGGAGGGTGAGTCGGTCGATGATTTCTTGGCAGAGCTTTCGGATGAGGAAAAAGCACTGTTGGCGGCTGAAGTGGTGGAGGAGACTCAGCGGGTTTCGCCCTTTGGTTTTGGACCATATCCCGCATTGCCCCCAGACTGGCCTAGGCAAAATATTTGGGAAGAACTCGAAACCGCATATCACAACGGAGATGGGAACATAGAGCATGAGTTAATTAACCGTTTCCTCGCCAGCTCTGTTTGCACCTTACATCATTCATAATACAGCCACACAGATAAAAGTCGCTGTCATTAACTTAATATCCCGGTCCTACCAAGCGAAAATTACCGCCTATAACCCCAGTATCACTCTATCCAAGCCAGCAGAAGCATTGGAGGCTTTGTCAAAAGAAATCATCGGGAAAAGTGACATGGTGGTAGGGGTGTTTCACGGAGAGGAAGATGAGGCGCGTACACTCGCTGAAAAATTCTCATGGTTATCCGTTCTAATCCATGCTAAGAATGAATCCTCGGAGGTCGCATCGGATATTCCGACTGTCGTGGGAAATACAACGATTGTTACTAACCCTACTAAAGGTGAAGCGGTTGGTGTTTTGGAGATTGGACTTGACCCCGATAGGCAAGTGAGTTCAAGACAGAATCAGCACCTCTCGGTCTCAGAACGGATTACCCCCGACGCTGATCTTGAAATGCTCCTAGCGCTCTACGACGATTTGACCGAGGATGACGGATTTGACCACCAAGAGAGCGTGCCGGATGATCGTGCTATCTATATCACCTATTTCCACAAACGTGGCTGTCAAAAGTGCGCGAGAGCCAGTGCGATTTTGAAACGACTCAAAACGAAATATCCGCGGATAGTGGTTGAATTGAAGTATGCCAAAGAGAGCCGGGAACTGCTTGAGGCGATGGGGGCTCTCTACGAGGTTCCCGAAGTAAAGCGGCTTACCACACCTGCGGTGTTCATCGGCGATGAGTATCTGCTCGACGAACTAGATGCAAAACATCTGGAAACGGTTATCCAGAAATACGTGCAGACAGGGGTAGTGTCTCGTCTATCTCAAGCGGAAGCCAAGACTGGGGAAGCTTCAGATGACATCGTGAAGCGCTTTAACGCTTTTGCCACTTTGGCTGTCGCCGGTGCAGGGTTGCTGGACGGAATCAATCCGTG